GGCGCCTCCTCCTCACAGCCCCCCAGAGCATGGGCGCCTCCTCCTCACAGCCCCCCAGAGCAGCGGCGCCTCCTCCTCACAGCCCCCAGAGCAGCGGCGCCTCCTCCTCACAACCCCCCAGAGCATGGGCGCCTCCTCCTCACAGCCCCCCAGAGCATGGGCGCCTCCTCCTCACAGCCCCCAGAGCAGCGGCGCCTCCTCCTCACAGCCCCCCAGAGCATGGGCGCCTCCTCCTCACAGCCCCCCAGAGCATGGGCGCCACCTCCTCACAGCCCCCCAGAGCAGCGGTGCCTCCTCCTCACTGCCCCCCAGAGCAGCGGCGCCTCCTCCTCACAGCCCCCCAGAGCAGCGGCGCCTCTCCCTCACAGCCCCCCAGAGCAGCGGCGCCTCCTCCTCACAGCCTCCCAGAGCATGGGCGCCTCCTCCTCACAGTCCCCCAGAGCATGGGCGCCTCCTCCTCACAACCCCCCAGAGCAGCGGCGCTTCCTCCTCACAGCTCCCCAGAGCAGTGGCGCCTCCTCCTCACAGCCCCCCCAGAGCAGCGGCGCCTCCTCCACACAGCCCCCCCAGAGCATGGGCGCCTCCTCCTCACAGCCCCCCAGAGCAGCGGCGCCTCCTCCTCACAGCTCCCCAGAGCAGTGGCGCCTCCTCCTCACAGCCCCCCCAGAGCAGCGGCGCCTCCTCCTCACAGCCCCCCCAGAGCATGGGCGCCTCCTCCTCACAGCCCCCCAGAGCATGGGCGCCTCCTCCTCACAGCCCCCCAGAGCATGGGCGCCACCTCCTCACAGCCCCCCAGAGCAGCAGCGCCTCCTCCTCACAGTCCCCCAGAGCAGCGGCGCCTCCTCCTCACAGCCCCCCAGAGCATGGGCGCCTACTCCTCACAGCCTCCCAGAGCATGGGCGCCTCCTCCTCACAGCCCCCCAGAGCAGCGGCGCCTCCTCCTCACAGCCCCCCCAGAGCATGGGCGCCTCCTCCTCACAGCCCCCCAGAGCATAGGCGCCTCCTCCTCACAGCCCACCAGAGCAGCGGCGCCTCCTCCTCACAGCCCCCCAGAGCATGGGCGCCTCCTCCTCACAGCCCCTCAGAGCAGCGGCGCCTCCTCCTCACAGCCCCCAGAGCAGCGGCGCCTCCTCCTCACAACCCCCCAGAGCATGGGCGCCTCCTCCTCACAGCCCCCCAGAGCAGCGGCGCCTCCTCCTCACAGCCCCCCCAGAGCATGGGCGCCTCCTCCTCACAGCCCCCAGAGCAGCGGCGCCTCCTCCTCACAGCCCCCCAGAGCATGGGCGCCTCCTCCTCACAGCCCCTCAGAGCAGCGGCGCCTCCTCCTCACAGCCCCCCAGAGCAGCGGCGCCTCCTCCTCACAACCCCCCAGAGCATGGGCGCCTCCTCCTCACAGCCCCCCAGAGCAGCGGCGCCTCCTCCTCACAGCCCCCCAGAGCATGGGCGCCTCCTCCTCACAGCCCCCCCAGAGCATGGGCGCCTTCTCCTCACAGGCCCCCAGAGCATGGGCGCCTCCTCCTCACAGCCCCCCAGAGCAGCAGCGCCTCCTCCTCACAGCACCCCAGAGCAGCGGCGCCTCCTCCTCACAGCCCCCCAGAGCATGGGCGCCTCCTCCTCACAGCCCCTCAGAGCAGCGGCGCCTCCTCCTCACAGCCCCCAGAGCAGCGGCGCCTCCTCCTCACAGCCCCCCAGAGCATGGGCGCCTCCTCCTCACAGCCCCCCAGAGCAGCGGCGCCTCCTCCTTACAGCCCCCCAGAGCATGGGCGCCTCCTCCTCACAGCCCCCCAGAGCATGGGCGCCTCCTCCTCACAGCCCCCCAGAGCATGGGCGCCTCCTCCTCACAGCCCCCCAGAGCAGCGGCGCCTCCTCCTCACAGCCCCCCCAGAGCATGGGCGCCTCCTCCTCACAGCCCCCAGAGCAGCGGCGCCTCCTCCTCACAGCCCCCCAGAGCATGGGCGCCTCCTCCTCACAGCCCCTCAGAGCAGCGGCGCCTCCTCCTCACAGCCCCCCAGAGCAGCGGCGCCTCCTCCTCACAGCCCCCCAGAGCAGCGGCGCCTCCTCCTCACAACCCCCCAGAGCATGGGCGCCTCCTCCTCACAGCCCCCCAGAGCAGCGGCGCCTCCTCCTCACAGCCCCCCCAGAGCATGGGCGCCTCCTCCTCACAGCCCCCAGAGCAGCGGCGCCTCCTCCTCACAGCCCCCCAGAGCATGGGCGCCTCCTCCTCACAGCCCCTCAGAGCAGCGGCGCCTCCTCCTCACAGCCCCCCAGAGCAGCGGCGCCTCCTCCTCACAACCCCCCAGAGCATGGGCGCCTCCTCCTCACAGCCCCCCAGAGCAGCGGCGCCTCCTCCTCACAGCCCCCCAGAGCATGGGCGCCTCCTCCTCACAGCCCCCCCAGAGCATGGGCGCCTTCTCCTCACAGGCCCCCAGAGCATGGGCGCCTCCTCCTCACAGCCCCCCAGAGCAGCAGCGCCTCCTCCTCACAGCACCCCAGAGCAGCGGCGCCTCCTCCTCACAGCCCCCCAGAGCATGGGCGCCTCCTCCTCACAGCCCCTCAGAGCAGCGGCGCCTCCTCCTCACAGCCCCCAGAGCAGCGGCGCCTCCTCCTCACAGCCCCCCAGAGCATGGGCGCCTCCTCCTCACAGCCCCTCAGAGCAGCGGCGCCTCCTCCTCACAGCCCCCCAGAGCAGCGGCGCCTCCTCCTCACAACCCCCCAGAGCATGGGCGCCTCCTCCTCACAGCCCCCCAGAGCAGCGGCGCCTCCTCCTCACAGCCCCCCAGAGCATGGGCGCCTCCTCCTCACAGCCCCCCCAGAGCATGGGCGCCTTCTCCTCACAGGCCCCCAGAGCATGGGCGCCTCCTCCTCACAGCCCCCCAGAGCAGCAGCGCCTCCTCCTCACAGCACCCCAGAGCAGCGGCGCCTCCTCCTCACAGCCCCCCAGAGCAGCGGCGCCTCCTCCTCACAGCCCCCCAGAGCAGCGGCGCCTCCTCCTCACAGCCCCCCAGAGCATGGGCGCCTCCTCCTCACAGCCCCCCAGAGCAGCGGCGCCTCCTCCTCACAGCTCCCCAGAGCATGGGCGCCTCCTCCTCACAGCCTCCCAGAGCAGTGGCGCCTCCTCGTCACAGCCCCCCAGAGCAGCGGCGCCTCCTCCTCACAGCCCCCCCAGAGCATGGGCGCCTCCTCCTCACAGCCCCCCAGAGCAGCAGCGCCTCCTCCTTACAGCCCCCCAGAGCATGGGCGCCTCCTCCTCACAGCCCCCCAGAGCATGGGCGCCACCTCCTCATAGCCCCCCAGAGCAGCGGTGCCTCCTCCTCACTGCCCCCCAGAGCAGCGGCGCCTCCTCCTCACAGCCCCCCAGAGCAGCGGCGCCTCTCCCTCACAGCCCCCCAGAGCAGCGGCGCCTCCTCCTCACAGCCCCCCAGAGCATGGGCGCCTCCTCCTCACAGTCCCCCAGAGCATGGGCGCCTCCTCCTCACAACCCCCCAGAGCAGAGGCGCCTCCTCCTCACAGCACCCCAGAGCAGTGGCGCCTCCTCCTCACAGCCCCCCCAGAGCAGCGGCGCCTCCTCCACACAGCCCCCCCAGAGCATGGGCGCCTCCTCCTCACAGCCCCCCAGAGCATGGGCGCCTCCTCCTCACAGCCCCCCAGAGCATGGGCGCCTCCTCCTCACAGCCCCCCAGAGCAGCGGCGCCTCCTCCTCACAACCCCCCAGAGAAGCGGCGCCTCCTCCTCACAGCTCCCCAGAGCAGTGGCGCCTCCTCCTCACAGCCCCCCCAGAGCAGCGGCGCCTCCTCCTCACAGCCCCCCCAGAGCATGGGCGCCTCCTCCTCACAGCCCCCCAGAGCATGGGCGCCTCCTCCTCACAGCCCCCCAGAGCATGGGCGCCACCTCCTCACAGCCCCCCAGAGCAGCAGCGCCTCCTCCTAACAGTCCCCCAGAGCAGCGGCGCCTCCTCCTTACAGCCCCCCAGAGCATGGGCGCCTCCTCCTCACAGCCCCCCAGAGCATGGGCGCCTCCTCCTCACAGCCCCCCAGAGCATGGGCGCCTCCTCCTCACAGCCCCCCAGAGCAGCGGCGCCTCCTCCTCACAGCCCCCCAGAGCATGGGCGCCTCCTCCTCACAGCCCCCCAGAGCAGCGGCGCCTCCTCCTCACAGCCCCCCAGAGCATGGGCGCCTCCTCCTCACAGCCCCCCAGAGCAGCGGCGCCTCCTCCTCACAGCCCCCCAGAGCAGCGGCGCCTCCTCCTCACAGCCCCCCAGAGCAGCGGCGCCTCCTCCTCACAGGCCCCCAGAGCATGGGCGCCTCCTCCTCACAGCCCCCCAGAGCAGCGGCGCCTCCTCCTCACAGCCCCCCAGAGCATGGGCGCCTCCTCCTCACAGCCCCCCAGAGCATGGGCGCCTCCTCCTCACAGCCCCCCAGAGCAGCGGCGCCTCCTCCTCACAGCCCCCCAGAGCAGCGGCGCCTCCTCCTCACAGCACCCCAGAGCATGGGCGCCTCCTCCTCACAGCCCCCCAGAGCAGCAGCGCCTCCTCCTCACAGCCCCCCCAGAGCATGGGCGCCACCTCATCACAGCCCCCCAGAGCAGCGGTGCCTCTCCCTCACAGCCCCCCAGAGCAGCGGCGCCTCCTCCTCACAGCCCCCCAGAGCAGCGGCGCCTCCTCCTCACAGCCCCCCAGAGCATGGGCGCCTCCTCCTCACAGCCCCACAGAGCAGCAGCGCCTCCTCCTCACAGTCCCTCAGAGCAGAGGCGCCTCCTCCTCACAGACCCCCAGAGCATGGGCGCCTCCTCCTCCTCACAGCACCCCAGAGCAGCAGCGCCTCCTCCTCACAGTCCCCCAGAGCATGGGCGCCTACTCCTCACAGCCCCCCAGAGCAGCGGCTCCTCCTCCTCACAGCCCCCAGAGCAGCGGCGCCTCCTCCTCACAGCCCCCCAGAGCAGCGGCGCCTCCTCCTCACTGCCCCCCATAGCATGGGCGCCTCCTCCTCACAGCCCCCCAGAGCATGGGCGCCTCCTCCTCACAGCCCCCAGAGCATGGGCGCCTCCTCCTCAAAGCCCCCCAGAGCATGGGCACCTCCTCCTCACAGCCTCCAGAGCAGCGGCACCTCCTCCTCACAGGCCCTCAGAGCAGCGGCACCTCCTCCTCACTGCCCCCCAGAGCATGGGCGCCTCCTCCTCACAGCCTCCCAGAGCATGGGCGCCTCCTCCTCAAAGCCCCCCAGAGCATGGGCACCTCCTCCTCACAGCCTCCAGAGCAGCGGCACCTCCTCCTCACAGGCCCTCAGAGCAGCGGCGCCTCCTCCTCACAGCCCCCCAGAGCAGCGGCGCCTCCTCCTCACAGCCTCCCAGAGCATGGGCGCCTCCTCCTCACAGCCCCCCAGAGCAGCGGCGCCTCCTCCTCACAGCCCCCCCAGAGCATGGGCGCCTCCTCCTCACAGCCCCCCAGAGCATGGGCGCCTTCTCCTCACAGCCCCCCAGAGCATGGGCGCCTCCTCCTCACAGCCCCCCAGAGCAGCGGCGCCTCCTCCTCACAGCCCCCCAGAGCAGCGGCGCCTCCTCCTCACAGGCCCCCAGAGCATGGGCGCGTCCTCCTCACAGCCCCCCAGAGCAGCAGCGCCTCCTCCTCACAGCACCCCAGAGCAGCGGCGCCTCCTCCTCACAGCCCCCCAGAGCAGCGGCGCCTCCTCCTCACAGGCCCCCAGAGCAGCGGCGCCTCCTCCTCACAGGCCCCCAGAGCATGGGCGCCTCCTCCTCACAGCCCCCCAGAGCATGGGCGCCTCCTCCTCACAGCCCCCCAGAGCATGGGCGCCTCCTCCTCACAGCCCCCCATAGCATGGGCGCCTCCTCCTCCTCACAGCCCCCCAGAGCATGGGCGCCTCCTCCTCACAGCCCCCCAGAGCAGCGGCGCCTCCTCCTCACAGCCCCCCAGAGCAGCGGCGCCTCCTCCTCACAGCCCCCCAGAGCAGCGGCGCCTCCTCCTCACAGCCTCCCAGAGCATGGGCGCCTCCTCCTCACAGCCCCCCAGAGCAGCGGCGCCTCCTCCTCACAGCCCCCCAGAGCATGGGCGCCTCCTCCTCCTCACAGCCCCCCAGAGCATGGGCGCCTCCTCCTCCTCACAGGCCCCCAGAGCATGGGCGCCTCCTCCTCACAGCCCCCCAGAGCAGCGGTGCCTCCTCCTCACAGCACCCCAGAGTAGCGACGCCTCCTCCTCACAGCCCCTCAGAGCAGCGGCGCCTCCTCCTCACAGCTCCCCAGAGCATGGGTGCCTCCTCCTCACAGCCCCCCAGAGCATGGGCGCCTCCTCCTCACAGCCCCCCAGAGCAGCGGCGCCTCCTTCTCACAGTCCCCCAGAGCATGGGCGCCTCCTCCTCACAACCCCCCAGAGCAGCGGCGCCTCCTCCTCACAGCTCCCCAGAGCAGTGGCGCCTCCTTCTTACAGCCCCCCCAAAGCATGGGCGCCTCCTCCTCACAGCCCCCAGAGCAGCGGCGCCTCCTCCTCACAGCCCCCCAGAGCATGGGCGCCTCCTCCTCACAGCCCCCCAGAGCAGCGGCGCCTCCTCCTCACAGCCCCCCAGAGCAGCGGCGCCTCCTCCTCACAGCCCCCCAGAGCAGCGGCGCCTCCTCCTCACTGCCCCCCAAAGCATGGGCGCCTCCTCCTCACAGCCCCCCAGAGCATGGGCGCCTCCTCCTCACAGCCCCCCAGAGCATGGGCGCCTCCTCCTCACAGCCTCCCAGAGCAGCGGCGCCTCCTCCTCACAGCCCCCCAGAGCATGGGCGCCTCCTCCTCACAGCCCCCAGAGCAGCGGCGCCTCCTCCTCACAGCCCCCCAGAGCAGCGGCGCCTCCTCCTCACAGCCCCCCAGAGCAGCGGCGCCTCCTCCTCACAGCCCCCCAGAGCAGCGGTGCCTCCTCCTCACAGCCCCCAGAGAAGCAGCGCCTCCTCCTCACAGCCCCCCGAGAGCAGCGGCGCCTCCTCCTCACAGCCCCCCAGAGCATGGGCGCCTCCTCCTCACAGCCCCCCCAGAGCATGGGCGCCTCCTCCTCACAGCCCCCCAGAGCAGCAGCGCCTCCTCCTCACAGTCCCCCAGAGCATCGGCGCCTCCTCCTCACAGGCCCCCAGAGCAGCGGCGCCTCCTCCTCACAGTCCCCAGAGCAGCGGCGCCTCCTCCTCACAGCCCCCAAGAGCAGCGGCACCTCCTCCTCACAGCCCCCCAGAGCAGCGGCGCCTCCTCCTCACAGCCCCCAAGAGCAGCGGCACCTCCTCCTCACAGCACCCCAGAGCATGGGCGCCTCCTCCTCACAGCCCCCAAGAGCAGCGGCGCCTCCTCCTCACAGTCCCCCAAAGCATGGGCGCCTCCTCCTCACAGCCCCCCAGAGCAGCGGCGCCTCCTCCTCACAGCCCCCCAGAGCAGCGGCGCCTCCTCCTCACAGCACCCCAGAGCATGGGCGCCTCCTCCTCACAGCTTCCCCAGAGCATGGGCGCCACCTCCTCACAGCCCCCCAGACCATGGGCGCCACCTCCTCACAGTCCCCCAGAGCAGCAGCGCCTCCTCCTCACAGTCCCCCAGAGCATGGGCGCCTCCTCCTCACAGCCCCCCAGAGCATGGGCGCCACCTCCTCACAGCCCCCCAGAGCAGCAGCGCCTCCTCCTCACAGTCCCCCAGAGCAGCGGCGCCTCCTCCTCACAGGCCCCCAGAGCAGCGGCGCCTCCTCCTCACAGCCCCCAAGAGCAGCGGCACCTCCTCCTCACAGCCCCCCTGAGCATGGGCGCCTCCTCCTCACAGCCCCCCAGAGCAGCGGCGCCTCCTCCTCACACCCCCCCAGAGCAGCGGCGCCTCCTCTTCACAGCCCCCCAGAGCAGCGGCGACTCCTCCTCACAGCCCCCCAAAGCATGGTCGCCTCCTCCTCACAGCCCCCCAGAGCATGGGCGCCTCCTCCTCACAGCCCCCCAGAGCATGGGCGCCTCCTCCTCACAGCCCCCCAGAGCAGCGGCGCCTCCTCCTCACAGCCCCCCAGAGCAGCGGCGCCTCCTCCTCACAGCACCCCAGAGCATGGGCGCCTCCTCCTCACAGCCCCCCAGAGCAGCAGCGCCTCCTCCTCACAGCCCCCCCAGAGCATGGGCGCCACCTCATCACAGCCCCCCAGAGCAGCGGTGCCTCTCCCTCACAGCCCCCCAGAGCAGCGGCGCCTCCTCCTCACAGCCCCCCAGAGCAGCGGCGCCTCCTCCTCACAGCCCCCCAGAGCATGGGCGCCTCCTCCTCACAGCCCCACAGAGCAGCAGCGCCTCCTCCTCACAGTCCCTCAGAGCAGAGGCGCCTCCTCCTCACAGACCCCCAGAGCATGGGCGCCTCCTCCTCACAGCCCCCCAGAGTATGGGCGCCTCCTCCTCACAGGCCCACAGAGCAGCAGCGCCTCCTCCTCACAGTCCCTCAGAGCAGAGGCGCCTCCTCCTCACAGACCCCCAGAGCATGGGCGCCTCCTCCTCACAGCCCCCCAGAGCATGGGCGCCACCTCCTCACAGCCCCCCAGAGCAGCAGCGCCTCCTCCTCACAGTCCCCCAGAGCAGCGGCGCCTCCTCCTCACAGGCCCCCAGAGCAGCGGCGCCTCCTCCTCACAGCCCCCAAGAGCAGCGGCACCTCCTCCTCACAGCCCCCCTGAGCATGGGCGCCTCCTCCTCACAGCCCCCCAGAGCAGCGGCGCCTCCTCCTCACACCCCCCCAGAGCAGCGGCGCCTCCTCTTCACAGCCCCCCAGAGCAGCGGCGACTCCTCCTCACAGCCCCCCAAAGCATGGTCGCCTCCTCCTCACAGCCCCCCAGAGCATGGGCGCCTCCTCCTCACAGCCCCCCAGAGCATGGGCGCCTCCTCCTCACAGCCCCCCAGAGCAGCGGCGCCTCCTCCTCACAGCCCCCCAGAGCAGCGGCGCCTCCTCCTCACAGCACCCCAGAGCATGGGCGCCTCCTCCTCACAGCCCCCCAGAGCAGCAGCGCCTCCTCCTCACAGCCCCCCCAGAGCATGGGCGCCACCTCATCACAGCCCCCCAGAGCAGCGGTGCCTCTCCCTCACAGCCCCCCAGAGCAGCGGCGCCTCCTCCTCACAGCCCCCCAGAGCAGCGGCGCCTCCTCCTCACAGCCCCCCAGAGCATGGGCGCCTCCTCCTCACAGCCCCCCAGAGCAGCGGCGCCTCCTCCTCACAGCCCCCCAGAGCAGCGGCGCCTCCTCCTCACAGCCCCCCAGAGCATGGGCGCCTCCTCCTCACAGCCCCACAGAGCAGCAGCGCCTCCTCCTCACAGTCCCTCAGAGCAGAGGCGCCTCCTCCTCACAGACCCCCAGAGCATGGGCGCCTCCTCCTCACAGCCCCCCAGAGCATGGGCGCCTCCTCCTCACAGCCCCCCCAGAGCATGGGCGCCTCCTCCTCCTCACAGCACCCCAGAGCAGCAGCGCCTCCTCCTCACAGTCCCCCAGAGCATGGGCGCCTACTCCTCACAGCCCCCCAGAGCAGCGGCTCCTCCTCCTCACAGCCCCCAGAGCAGCGGCGCCTCCTCCTCACAGCCCCCCAGAGCAGCGGCGCCTCCTCCTCACTGCCCCCCATAGCATGGGCGCCTCCTCCTCACAGCCCCCCAGAGCATGGGCGCCTCCTCCTCACAGCCCCCCAGAGCAGCGGCACCTCCTCCTCACTGCCCCCCAGAGCATGGGCGCCTCCTCCTCACAGCCTCCCAGAGCATGGGCGCCTCCTCCTCACAGCCCCCCAGAGCATGGGCACCTCCTCCTCACAGCCTCCAGAGCAGCGGCACCTCCTCCTCACAGGCCCTCAGAGCAAGGGCGCCTCCTCCTCACAGCCCCCAGAGCATGGGCGCCTCCTCCTTACAGCCCCCCAGAGCATGGGCGCCTCCTCCTCACTGCCCCCCAGATCATGGGCGCCTCCTCCTCACAGCCCCCCAGAGCAGCGGAGCCTCCTCCTCACAGCCCCCCAGAGCATAGGCGCCTCCTCCTCACAGCCCCCAGAGCAGCGGCGCCTCCTCCTCACAGCACCCCAGACCATGGGCGCCTCCTCCTCACAGCTCCCCAGAGCATGGAGGTCTCCTCCTCACAGCCCCCCAGAGCAGCGGCGCCTCCTCCTCACAGCCCCCCAGAGCATGGGCGCCTCCTCCTCACAGCCCCCCAGAGCAGCGGCGCCTCCTCCTCACAGCCCCCCAGAGCAGCGGCGCCTCCTCCTCACAGCCCCCCAGAGCAGCGGCGCCTCCTCCTCACAGCCTCCCAGAGCATGGGCGCCTCCTCCTCACAGCCCCCCAGAGCAGCGGCGCCTCCTCCTCACAGCCCCCCCAGAGCATGGGCGCCTCCTCCTCACAGCCCCCCAGAGCATGGGCGCCTTCTCCTCACAGCCCCCCAGAGCATGGGCGCCTCCTCCTCACAGCCCCCCAGAGCAGCGGCGCCTCCTCCTCACAGCCCCCCAGAGCAGCGGCGCCTCCTCCTCACAGGCCCCCAGAGCATGGGCGCGTCCTCCTCACAGCCCCCCAGAGCAGCAGCGCCTCCTCCTCACAGCACCCCAGAGCAGCGGCGCCTCCTCCTCACAGCCCCCCAGAGCAGCGGCGCCTCCTCCTCACAGGCCCCCAGAGCAGCGGCGCCTCCTCCTCACAGGCCCCCAGAGCATGGGCGCCTCCTCCTCACAGGCCCCCAGAGCATGGGCGCCTCCTCCTCACAGCCCCCCAGAGCATGGGCGCCTCCTCCTCACAGCCCCCTAGAGCATGGGCGCCTCCTCCTCACAGCCCCCAGAGCAGCGGCGCCTCCTCCTCACAGCCCCCCAGAGCAGCGGCGCCTCCTCCTCACAGCCCCCCAGAGCAGCGGCGCCTCCTCCTCACAGCCCCCCAGAGCATAGGCGCCTCCTCCTCACAGCCCACCAGAGCAGCGGCGCCTCCTCCTCACTGCCCCCCAGAGCATGGGCGCCTCCTCCTCACAGCCCTCAGAGCAGCGGCACCTCCTCCTCACAGGCCCCCAGAGCATGGGCGCCTCCTCCTCACAGCCCCCCAGAGCAGCGGCGCCTCTCCCTCACAGCCCCCCAGAGCAGCAGCGCCTCCTCCTCACAGTCCTCCAGAGCATGGGCGCCTCGTCCTCACAGCCCCCCAGAGCAGCGGCGCCTCCTCCTCACAGCCCCCCAGAGCAGCGGCGCCTCCTCCTCACAGCCCCCCAGAGCATGGGCGCCTCCTCCTCACAGCCCCCCAGAGCATGGGCGCCTCCTCCTCACAGCCCCCCAGAGCATGGGCGCCTCCTCCTCCTCACAGGCCCCCAGAGCATGGGCGCCTCCTCCTCACAGCCCCCCAGAGCAGCGGTGCCTCCTCCTCACAGCACCCCAGAGTAGCGACGCCTCCTCCTCACAGCACCCCAGAGCAGCGGCGCCTCCTCCTCACAGCCCCCCAGAGCAGCGGCGCCTCCTCCTCACAGCCCCCCAGAGCAGCGGCGCCTCCTCCTCACAGCCCCCCAGAGCAGCGGCGCCTCCTTCTCACAGTCCCCCAGAGCATGGGCGCCTCCTCCTCACAACCCCCCAGAGCAGCGGCGCCTCCTCCTCACAGCTCCCCAGAGCAGTGGCGCCTCCTTCTTACAGCCCCCCCAAAGCATGGGCGCCTCCTCCTCACAGCCCCCCAGAGCAGCAGCGCCTCCTCCTCACAGCACCCCAGAGCAGCGGCGCCTCCTCCTCACAGCCTCCCAGAGCATGGGCGCCTCCTCCTCACAGCCCCCCAGAGCAGCGGCGCCTCCTCCTCACAGCCCCCCAGAGCAGCGGCGCCTCCTCCTCACTGCCCCCCAAAGCATGGGCGCCTCCTCCTCACAGCCCCCCAGAGCATGGGCGCCTCCTCCTCACAGCCCCCCCAGAGCATGGGCGCCTCCTCCTCACAGCCCCCCCAGAGCATGGGCGCTTCCTCCTCCTCACAGCCCCCCAGAGCATGGGCGCCTCCTCCTCACAGCCCCCCAGAGCATGGGCGCCTCCTCCTCACAGCCCCCCAGAGCAGCGGCGCCTCCTCCTCACAGCCCCCCAGAGCAGCGGCGCCTCCTCCTCACAGCCCCCCAGAGCATGGGCGCCTCCTCCTCACACCCCCCCAGACCATAGGCGCGTCCTCCTCACAGCCCCCAGAGCAACGGCGCCTCCTCCTCACAGCACCCCAGAGCATGGGCGCCTCCTCCTCACAGCTCCCCAGAGCATGGGCGCCTCCTTCTCACAGCCCCCCAGAGCAGTGGCGCCTCCTCCTCACAGCCCCCCCAGAGCATGGGCGCCTCCTCCTCACAGCCCCCCAGAGCAGCAGCGCCTCCTCCTCACAGTCCCCCAGAGCAGCGGCGCCTCCTCCTTACAGTCCCCCAGAGCAGCGGCGCCTCCTCCTCACAGGCCCCCAGAGCAGCGGCGCCTCCTCCTCACAGTCCCCAGAGCAGCGGCGCCTCCTCCTCACAGCCCCCTAGAGCAGCGGCACCTCCTCCTCACAGCCCCCCAGAGCATGGGCGCCTCCTCCTCACAGCCCCCCAGAGCATGGGCGCCTCCTCCTCACAGCCCCCCCAGAGCAGCGGCGCCTCCTCCTCACAGCACCCCAGAGCAGCGGCGCCTCCTCCTCACAGCCCCCCAGAGCAGCGGCGCCTCCTCCTCACAGCCCCCCAGAGTAGGGGCGCCACCTCCTCACAGCCCCCAGAGCAGCGGCGCCTCCTCCTCACAGCCCCCCAGAGCATGGGCGCCTCCTCCTCACAGCCCCCTAGAGCAGCGGCGCCTCCTCACAGCACCCCAGAGCAGCGGCGCCTCCTCCTCACAGCCCCCCAGAGTATGGGCGCCTCCTCCTCACAGCCCCCCAGAGCATGGGCGCCTCCTCCTCACAGCCCCCCAGAGCATGGGCGCCTCCTCCTCACAGCCCCCCAGAGCATGGGCGCCTCCTCCTCACAGCCCCCCAGAGCAGCGGCGCCTCCTCCTCACAGCCCCCAGAGCAGCGGCGCCTCCTCCTCACAGTCCCCCAGAGCATGGGCGCCTCCTCCTCACAACCCCCCAGAGCAGCGGCGCCTCCTCCTCACAGCTCCCCAGAGCAGCGGCGCCTCCTCCTCACAGCCTCCCAGAGCATGGGCGCCTCCTCCTCACAGCCCCCAGAGCAGCGGCACCTCCTCCTCAAAGGCCCCCAGAGCAGCGGCGCCTCCTCCTCACAGTCCCCAGAGCAGAGGCGCCTCCTCCTCACAGCCCCCCAGAGCAGCGGCGCCTCCTCCTCACAGCCCCCCATTGCAGCGGCGCCTCCTCCTCACAGCCCCCCAGAGCATGGGCGCCTCCTCCTCACAGCCTCCCAGAGCATGGGCGCCTCCTCCTCACAGCACCCCAGATCAGCAGCGCCTCCTCCTCACAGCCTCCCAGAGCATGGGCGCCTCCTCCTCATAGCCCCCAGAGCAGCGGCGCCTCCTCCTCACAGCCCCCAGAGCAGCAGCGCCTCCTCCTCACAGCCCCCAAGAGCAGCGGCGCCTCCTCCTCACTGCCCCCCAGAGCATGGGCGCCTCCTCCTCACAACCCCCCAGAGCATGGGCGCCTCCTCCTCACAGCCCCCCAGAGCATGGGCGCCTCCTCCTCACAGCCTCCCAGAGCAGCGGCGCCTCCTCCTCACAGCCCCCAGAGCAGCGGCGCCTCCTCCTCACAGCCCCCCAGAGCAGCGGCGCCTCCTCCTCACAGTCCCCCAGAGCATGGGCGCCTCCTCCTCACAGCTCCCCAGAGCATGGGCGACTCCTCCTCACAGCTCCCCAGAGCATGGGCGCCTCCTCCTCACAGCCCCCCCAGAGCATGGCCGCCTCCTCCTCACAGCCCCCCAGAGCAGCGGCGCCTCCTCCTCACAGCCCCGCAAAGCAGCGGCGCCTCCTCCTCACAGCCCCCCAAAGCAGCGGGGCCTCCTCCTCACAGCCCCCCAGAGCATGGGCGCCTCCTCCTCACAGCCCCCCAGAGCATGGGCGCCTCCTCCTCACAGCCCCCCAGAGCATGGGCGCCTCCTCCTCACAGCCCCCCAGAGCAGCGGCGCCTCCTCCTCACAGCCCCCCAGAGCAGCGGCGCCTCCTCCTCACAGCCCCCCAGAGCAGCGGCGCCTCCTCCTCACAGCCCCCCAGAGCATGGGCGCCTCCTCCTCACACCCCCCCAGACCATAGGCGCGTCCTCCTCACAGCCCCCAGAGCAACGGCGCCTCCTTCTCACAGCACCCCAGAGCATGGGCGCCTCCTCCTCACAGCTCCCCAGAGCATGGGCGCCTCCTTCTCACAGCCCCCCAGAGCAGTGACGCCTCCTCCTCACAGCCCCCCCAGAGCATGGGCGCCTCCTCCTCACAGCCCCCCAGAGCATGGGCGCCTCCTCCTCACAGCCCCCAGAGCAGCGACGCCTCCTCCTCACAGCCCCCCAGAGCAGCGGCGCCTCTCTCTCACAGCCCCCCAGAGCAGCGGCGCCTCCTCCTCACAGCCCCCCAGAGCATGGGCGCCTCCTCCTCACAGCCCCCCAGAGCATGGGCGCCACCTCCTCACAGCCCCCCAGAGCAGCAGCGCCTCCTCCTCACAGTCCCCCAGAGCAGCGGCGCCTCCTCCTTACAGTCCCCCAGAGCAGCGGCGCCTCCTCCTCACAGGCCCCCAGAGCAGCGGCGCCTCCTCCTCACAGTCCCCAGAGCAGCGGCGCCTCCTCCTCACAGCCCCCCAGAGCAGCGGCACCTCCTCCTCACAGCCCCCCAGAGCATGGGCGCCTCCTCCTCACAGCCCCCCAGAGCATGGGCGCCTCCTCCTCACAGCCCCCCCAGAGCAGCGGCGCCTCCTCCTCACAGCACCCCAGAGCAGCGGCGCCTCCTCCTCACAGCCCCCCAGAGCAGCGGCGCCTCCTCCTCACAGCCCCCCAGAGTAGGGGCGCCACCTCCTCACAGCCCCCAGAGCAGCTGCGCCTCCTCCTCACAGCCCCCCAGAGCATGGGCGCCTCCTCCTCACAGCCCCCCAGAGTATGGGCGCCTCCTCCTCACAGCCCCCCAGAGCATGGGCGCCTCCTCCTCACAGCCCCCCAGAGCATGGGCGCCTCCTCCTCACAGCCCCCCAGAGCAGCGGCGCCTCCTCCTCACAGCCCCCAGAGCAGCGGCGCCTCCTCCTCACAGTCCCCCAGAGCATGGGCGCCTCCTCCTCACAACCCCCCAGAGCAGCGGCGCCTCCTCCTCACAGCTCCCCAGAGCAGTGGCGCCTCCTCCTTACAGCCCCCCCAGAGCATGGGCGCCTCCTCCTCACAGCCCCCCAGAGCAGCAGCGCCTCCTCCTCACAGCACCCCAGAGCAGCGGCGCCTCCTCCTCACAGCCTCCCAGAGCATGGGCGCCTCCTCCTCACAGCCCCCAGAGCAGCGGCACCTCCTCCTCAAAGGCCCCCAGAGCAGCGGCGCCTCCTCCTCACAGTCCCCAGAGCAGAGGCGCCTCCTCCTCACAGCCCCCCAGAGCAGCGGCGCCTCCTCCTCACAGCCCCCCATTGCAGCGGCGCCTCCTCCTCACAGCCCCCAAGAGCAGCGGCGCCTCCTCGTCACTGCCCCCCAAAGCATGGGCGCCTCCTCCTCACAGCCTCCCAGAGCATGGGCGCCTCCTCCTCACAGCCCCCCCAGAGCATGGGCGCCTCCTCCTCACAGCACCCCAGATCAGCAGCGCCTCCTCCTCACAGCCTCCCAGAGCATGGGTGCCTCCTCCTCATAGCCCCCAGAGCAGCGGCGCCTCCTCCTCACAGCCCCCAGAGCAGCAGCGCCTCCTCCTCACAGCCCCCAAGAGCAGCGGCGCCTCCTCCTCACTGCCCCCCAGAGCATGGGCGCCTCCTCCTCACAGCCCCCCAGAGCATGGGCGCCTCCTCCTCACAGCCTCCCAGAGCAGCGGCGCCTCCTCCTCACAGCCCCCAGAGCAGCGGCGCCTCCTCCTCACAGCCCCCCAGAGCAGCAGCGCCTCCTCCTCACAGCCCCCCAGAGCAACGGCGCCTCCTCCTCACAGCACCCCAGAGCAGCGGCGCCTCCTCCTCACAGCCCCCCAGAGCATGGGCGCCTCCTCCTCACTGCCCCAAAGAGCATGGGCGCCTCCTCCTCAGAGCCCCCCAGAGCAGCGGCGCCTCCTCCTCACAGCCCCCCAGAGCATAGGCGCCTCCTCCTCACAGCCCCCAGAGCAGCGGCGCCTCCTCCTCACAGCACCCCAGAGCATGGGCGCCTCCTCCTCACAGCCCCCCAGAGCATGGGCGCCACCTCCTCACAGCCCCCCAGAGCAGCAGCGCCTCCTCCTCACAGTCCCCCAGAGCAGCGGCGCCTCCTCCTTACAGTCCCCCAGAGCAGCGGCGCCTCCTCCTCACAGGCCCCCAGAGCAGCGGCGCCTCCTCCTCACAGTCCCCAGAGCAGCGGCGCCTCCTCCTCACAGCCCCCCAGAGCAGCGGCACCTCCTCCTCACAGCCCCCCAGAGCATGGGCGCCTCCTCCTCACAGCCCCCCAGAGCATGGGCGCCTCCTCCTCACAGCCCCCCCAGAGCAGCGGCGCCTCCTCCTCACAGCACCCCAGAGCAGCGGCGCCTCCTCCTCACAGCCCCCCAGAGCAGCGGCGCCTCCTCCTCACAGCCCCCCAGAGTAGGGGCGCCACCTCCTCACAGCCCCCAGAGCAGCGGCGCCTCCTCCTCACAGCCCCCCAGAGCATGGGCGCCTCCTCCTCACAGCCCCCTAGAGCAGCGGCGCCTCCTCCTCACAGCCCCCCAGAGTATGGGCGCCTCCTCCTCACAGCCCCCCAGAGCATGGGCGCCTCCTCCTCACAGCCCCCCAGAGCATGGGCGCCTCCTCCTCACAGCCCCCCAGAGCATGGGCGCCTCCTCCTCACAGCCCCCCAGAGCAGCGGCGCCTCCTCCTCACAGCCCCCAAAGCAGCGGCGCCTCCTCCTCACAGTCCCCCAGAGCATGGGCGCCTCCTCCTCACAACCCCCCAGAGCAGCGGCGCCTCCTCCTCACAGCTCCCCAGAGCAGTGGCGCCTCCTCCTTACAGCCCCCCCAGAGCATGGGCGCCTCCTCCTCACAGCCCCCCAGAGCAGCAGCGCCTCCTCCTCACAGCACCCCAGAGCAGCGGCGCCTCCTCCTCACAGCCTCCCAGAGCATGGGCGCCTCCTCCTCACAGCCCCCAGAGCAGCGGCACCTCCTCCTCAAAGGCCCCCAGAGCAGCGGCGCCTCCTCCTCACAGTCCCCAGAGCAGAGGCGCCTCCTCCTCACAGCCCCCCAGAGCAGCGGCGCCTCCTCCTCACAGCCCCCCATTGCAGCGGCGCCTCCTCCTCACAGCCCCCCAGAGCAGCGGCGCCTCCTCGTCACTGCCCCCCAAAGCATGGGCGCCTCCTCCTCACAGCCCCCCAGAGCATGGGCGCCTCCTCCTCACAGCCCCCCAGAGCATGGGCGCCTCCTCCTCACAGCACCCCAGATCAGCAGCGCCTCCTCCTCACAGCCTCCCAGAGCATGGGTGCCTCCTCCTCATAGCCCCCAGAGCAGCGGCGCCTCCTCCTCACAGCCCCCAGAGCAGCAGCGCCTCCTCCTCACAGCCCCCAAGAGCAGCGGCGCCTCCTCCTCACTGCCCCCCAGAGCATGGGCGCCTCCTCCTCACAGTCCCCCAGAGCATGGGCGCCTCCTCCTCACAGCCCCCCAGAGCATGGGCGCCTCCTCCTCACAGCCTCCCAGAGCAGCGGCGCCTCCTCCTCACAGCCCCCCAGAGCAGCGGCGCCTCCTCCTCACAGCCCCGCAGAGCAACGGCGCCTCCTCCTCACTGCCCCCCAGAGCATGGGCGCCTCCTCCTCACAGCCCCCCAGAGCATGGGCGCCTCCTCCTCACTGCCCCAAAGAGCATGGGCGCCTCCTCCTCAGAGCCCCCCAGAGCAGCGGCGCCTCCTCCTCACAGCCCCCCAGAGCATAGGCGCCTCCTCCTCACAGCCCCCAGAGCAGCGGCGCCTCCTCCTCACAGTCCCCCAGAGCATGGGCGCCTCCTCCTCACAGCCCCCCAGAGCATGGGCGCCTCCTCCTCACAGCTCCCCAGAGCATGGGCGCCTCCTCCTCACAGCCCCCCCAGAGCATGGGCGCCTCCTCCTCACAGCCCCCCAGAGCATGGGCGCCTCCTCCTCACAGCCCCCCAAAGCAGCGGCGCCTCCTCCTCACAGCCCCCCAATGCAGCGGGGCCTCCTCCTCACAGCCCCCCAAAGCAACGGCGCCTCCTCCTCACAGCCCCCCCAGAGCATGGGCGCCTCCTCCTCACAGCCCCCCAGAGCATGGGCGCCTCCTCCTCACAGCCCCCCAGAGCAGCGGCGCCTCTCCCTCACAGCCCCCCAGAGCATGGGCGCCTCCTCCTCACACCCCCCCAGACCATAGGCGCGTCCTCCTCACAGCCCCCAGAGCAACGGCGCCTCCTCCTCACAGCACCCCAGAGCATGGGCGCCTCCTCCTCACAGCTCCCCAGAGCATGGGCGCCTCCTTCTCACAGCCCCCCAGAGCAGTGGCGCCTCCTCCTCACAGCCCCCCCAGAGCATGGGCGCCTCCTCCTCACAGCTCCCCAGAGCATGGGCGCCTCCTCCTCACAGCCCCCCATAGCAGCGGCGCCTCCTCCTCACAGCCCCCCAGAGCATGGGCGCCTCCTCCTCAAAGCCCCCAGAGCAGCGACGCCTCCTCCTCACAGCCCTACAGAGCAGCGGCGCCACTCTCTCACAGCCCCCCAGAGCAGCGGCGCCTCCTCCTCACAGCCCCCCAGAGCATGGGCGCCTCCTCCTCACAGCCCCCCAGAGCATGGGCGCCTCCTCCTCACAGCCCCCCCAGAGCATGGGCGCCTCCTCCTCACAGCCCCCCAGAGCAGCGGCGACTCCTCCTCACAGCCCCCCAGAGCAGCGGCGCCTCCTCCTCACAGTCCCCCAGAGCATGGGCGCCTCCTCCTCACAACCCCCCAGAGCAGCGGCGCCTCCTCTTCACAGCTCCCCAGAGCAGTGGCGCCTCCTCCTTACAGCCCCCCCAGAGCATGGGCGCCTCCTCCTCACAGCCCCCCAGAGCAGCAGCGCCTCCTCCTCACAGCACCCCAGAGCAGCGGCGCCTCCTCCTCACAGCCTCCCAGAGCATGGGCGCCTCTTCCTCACAGCCCCCAGAGCAGCGGCACCTCCTCCTCAAAGGCCCCCAGAGCAGCGGAGCCTCCTCCTCACAGTCCCCAGAGCAGAGGCGCCTCCTCCTCACAGCCCCCCAGAGCATGGGCGCCTCCTCCTCACAGCCCCCCAGAGCAGCGGCGCCTCCTCCTCACAGCCCCCCAGAGCAGCGGCGCCTCCTCCTCACAGCCCCCCAGAGCATGGGCGCCTCCTCCTCACAGCCCCCCCAGAGCAGCGGCGCCTCCTCCTCACAGCCCCCAGAGCAGCGGCGCCTCCTCCTCACAGCCCCCCAGAGCAGCGGCGCCTCCTCCTCACTGCCCCCCAGAGCATGGGCGCTTCCTCCTCACAGCCCCCCAGAGCATGGGCGCCTCCTCCTCACAGCCCCCCAGAGCATGGGCGCCTCCTCCTCACAGCCCCCAGAGCAGCGGCGCCTCCTCACAGTCCCCAGAGCAGCGGCGCCTCCTCCTCACAGCACCCCAGAGCAGCGGCGCCTCCTCCTCACAGCCTCCCAGAGCATAGGCGCCTCCTCCTCAAAGGCCCCCAGAGCAGCGACGCCTCCTCCTCACAGTCCCCAGAGCAGAGGCGCCTCCTCCTCACAGCCCCCCAGAGCAGCGGCGCCTCCTCCTCACAGCCCCCCAGAGCATAGGCGCCTCCTCCTCACAGCCCCCCAGAGCATGGGCGCCTCCTCCTCACAACCCCACAGAGCAGCGGCGCCACCTCCTCACAGCTCCCCAGAGCAGTGGCGCCTCCTCCTCACAGCCCCCCAGAGCATGGGCGCCTCCTCCTCACAGCCCCCCAGAGCATGGGCGCCTCCTCCTCACAGCCCCTCAGAGCAGCGGCGCCTCCTCCTCACAGCCCCCCAGAGCATGGGCGCCTCCTCCTCACAGCCCCCCAGAGCATGGGCGCCTCCTCCTCACAGCACCCCAGAGCAGTGGCGCCTCTCCCTCACAGCCCCCGAGAGCAGCGGCGCCTCCTCCTCACAGCCCCCCAGAGCATGGGCGCCTCCTCCTCACAGCTCCCCAGAGCATGGGCGCCTCCTCCTCACAGCCCCCTCAGAGCATGGGCGCCTCCTCCTCACAGCCCCCCAGAGCATGGGCGCCACCTCCTCACAGCCCCCCAGAGCAGCGGTGCCTCCTCCTCACAGTCCCCCAGAGCAGCGGCGCCTCCTCCTCACAGCCCCCCAGAGCATGGGCGCCTCCTCCTCACAGCCCCCCAGAGCATGGGCGCCTCCTCCTCACAGGAACCCAGAGCATGGGCGCCTCCTCCTCACAGCCCCCCAGAGCAGCGGTGCCTCCTCCTCACAGCACCCCAGAGCAGCGGCGCCTCCTCCTCACAGCCCCCCAGAGCATGGGCGCCTCCTCCTCACAGCCCCCCAGAGCAGCGGCGCCTCTCCCTCACATCCCCCAAGAGCAGCGGCGCCTCCTCCTCACAGCCCCCCAGAGCAGCGGCGCCTCCTCCTCACAGCCCCCCAGTGCATGGGCGCCTCCTCCTCATAGCCCCCCCAGAGCATGGGCGCCTCCTCCTCACAGCTCCCCAGAGCATGGGCGCCCCTCCTCACAGCCCCCCAGAGCAGTGGCGCCTCCTCCTCACAGCCCCCCAGAGCAGCGGCGCCTCCTCCTCACAGCCCCCCAGAGCATGGGCGCCTCCTCCTCACAGCCCCCCCAGAGCATGGGCGCCTCCTCCTCACTGCTCCCCAGAGCATGGGCGCCCCTCCTCACAGCCCCCCAGAGCATGGGCGCCTCCTCCTCACAGCCCCCCAGAGCATGGGCGCCTCCTCCTCACAGCCCCCCAGAACAGCGGCGCCTCCTCCTCACAGCCCCCCAGAGCATGGGCGCCTCCTCCTCACAGCCCCCCCAGAGCATGGGCGCCTCCTCCTCACAGCTCCCCAGAGCATGGGCGCCCCTCCTCACAGCCCCCCAGAGCATGGGCACCTCCTCCTCACAGCCCCCCAGAGCAGCGGCGCCTCCTCCTTACAGCCACCCAGAGCAGTGGCGCCTCCTCCTCACAGCCCCCCAGAGCAGCAGCGCCTCCTCCTCACAGTCCTCCAGAGCAGCGGCGCCTCCTCCTCACAGCTCCCCAGAGCAGTGGCGCCTCCTCCTCACAGGCCCCCCAGAGCATGAGCGCCTCCTCCTTACAGCCCCCCAGAGCATCGGCGCCTCCTCCTTACAGCCCCCCAGAGCATGGGCGCCTCCTCCTCACAGCTCCCCAGAGCATGGGCGCCTCCTCCTCACAGCCCCCCCAGAGCATGGGCGCCTCCTCCTCACAGCCCCCCAGAGCATGGGCGCCTCCTCCTCACAGGCCCCCAGAGCATGGGCGCCTCCTCCTAACAGCCCCCAAGAGCAGCAGCGCCTCCTCCTCACAGCACCCCAGAGCTGCGGCGCCTCCTTCTCACAGCCCCCCAGAGTATGGGCGCCTCCTCCTCACAGCCCCCCAGAGCATGGGCGCCTCCTCCTCACAGCCCCCCAGAGCATGGGCGCCTCCTCCTCACAGCCCCCCAGAGCAGCGGCGCCTCTCCCTCACAGCCCCCCAGAGCAGCGGCGCATCCTCCTCACAGCCCCCCAGAGCATGGGCGCCTCCTCCTCACAGCTCCCTAGAGCATGGGCGCCTCCTCCTCACAACCCACCCAGAGCATGAGCGCCTCCTCCTCCTCACAGCCCCCCAGAGCATGGGCGCCTCCTCCTCACAGGCCCCCAGAGCATGGGCGCCTCCTCCTCTCAGCCCCCCAGAGCAGCAGCGCCTCCTCCTCACAGCACCCCAGAGGAGCGGCGCCTCCTCCTCACAGCCCCCCAGAGCAGCGGCGCCTCCTCCTCACAGCCCCCCAGAGCAGCGGCGCCTCCTCCTCACATTCCCCCAGAGCATGGGCGCCTCCTCCTCACAGCCCCCCAAAGCAGCAGCGCCTCCTCCTCACAGTCCCCCAGAGCATGGGCGCCTCCTCCTCACAGACCCCCCAGAGCATGCGCGCCTCCTCCTCACAGCCCCCCAGAGCATGGGCGCCTCCTCCTCACAGCCCCCCAGAGCTTGGGCGCCTCCTCCTCACAGCCCCCTAGAGCAGCGGCGCCTCCTCCTCACAGGTCCCCAGAGCAGCGGCGCCTCCTCCTCACTGGCCCCCAGAGCAGCGGCGCCTCCTCCTCACAGCCCCCCAGAGCATGGGCGCCTCCTCCTCACAGCCCCCTAGAGCATAGGCGCCTCCTTCTCACAGCCCCCCAGAGCAGCGGCGCCTCCTCCTCACAGCCCCCAGAGCAGCGGTGCCTCCTCCTCACAGGCCCCCAGAGCATGGGCGCCTCCTCCTCACATGCGGAGATAACTGCAGCAATGGGAGCTAGGCTACGGGCCAGGCACGTGTGCTCGTGTGATCTCTGTGTTCTCTGTTCCTTAGTCGTTTTCCTTGTGCGCACACTACTTGCTAGTTCACGGGGAAAATTGGCAAGAGTTCCATTAGGAAAAGTTCAGAACAATGATAGCAACAACATTGGCAACATTGACTACATCAGAGCTAGCTAGGCTGCTGGTCGACCTCCAACGCAGCACGGTCGACCGCACTCCAGCGCAGCAGTGCTCGCACTGCTCCAGCGTAGCAGAGTAGCGGTTCGCCAACGTTGCAAGTCCACGGTGTGCCAGCGCTGCACCAAGTCGGCTGCACAGCGTTGCATCCGCAGGACAACGGTGCACCTGCTTCGCAGATGCGCGCAGCTGGTTGGTGTGCACTTCCTTGTCACGTGCACAATGCAGACGCCTGGCAGATCCCGTGCCAGCGACTGTGCCCACCAGCCACGTCGACCTCGGGATACCACCCCGAGGTCGACCTCGCAGTCTCCATCCTGGCGACACTCGCGCACGTCGCCCAGGTATCCCGATCGACCGGGCAACCACGCCTGGTCGACTCGCGCAGTCCGTAGCCAGGCACGCATGCCCGACATCCCCAGTCTGGTGTCCAGGCGCGCCCAGAACGCCTTCCGAACCCCTAGGTCGGCGTCCAGACGCCCAGGACGCTGACCAAACCTCCAGAGCGGCGTCCCTCCCCAGGACGCCGATCAGACACCTAGGTCGGTGTCGGGACCCGACGCCCAGGTCGGCGTCCGGACCCCCGGACTCCGTGCAGACACCCACGACGTCGTCCAGGCGTCCGGGTGGTCATGGCGACGCCCAGCTCGGCGTCCCACCTCCCAGGACGCCGTCCAGGCGTCCAGGACGCCAACCAGACGTCCAGGGCGGCGTTCTCCAGCTCGGCGCCCTTGCAGTGGCCCCCGTGCCCACTGCTGCTGGTCGGCTGCAACCCTCGCACATCCGACCACAAAGTTGGCTCCGCCCAAGCGAGGACGGGGCCAATACCCTACTCCCGTTGACACTCCCCTGCCGCGTTCACGCTTGGGCACCCAGCCCACACGGTAGTACAGCTCGGAGACTAGCTCGTTGACGTGCACCCAACACATAGCACGTCGTCCACCGCACCAGCCATGCAAAGGGCATGGCACCTACTGCTGCACGTCGTTGTCGCCGTCGCCCACGTCTGCCAGGCGCACTTGGCCGATTGTGACGGAGCACCGGTCAAAGGCCGGATAGTGCAGCGCCTTCGTCAGGAAGTCGGCCGGCTGCTCAGCGGTCGGGATGTACTGCAGCGAGAACTTCCCGCGCCTCACCATGTGCTGCAGCCAGGCCTGTCGCCGTTCCATGTGCTTGAGGTTGCCCGTCAACCCCATGCCCTCGGCGACCGTGATGGCCGACTTGTTGTCCACGCGCAGGACAGTCGGCTTCCCGGCGTCCAGCTGCCGGAATTCTGCGAGGAGGAAGCGAAGGCGGCGTCCCTCCTTGCCAGCTTCAGTGGCCGCCACGTACTCCGACTCGGTCGACGACAACGTCGCGCACTTGATGCGCTGGCTCGACCAGGAGACTGCAGCCCCTCCGTAGACGAACACGTAGCCGCTCGTGCTCGTCCTGTTCTGCTTGTCACCTGCGTCATCGGCGTCCACGTAGCCGACCAGCTCCAACGACTCAGGTCCACCGCCGAACTCCAGGGCGGTGTCACGCGTGTTGGCGAGGTAGGCGAGGCAGCGATCGACCTCGCGCCAGTGCTGGTCGCTCCTCACCGTGAGGCCGCTCCCCAGCTTGCTGCAGGGGAAGGCAATGTCCGGCCTTGTCGTCGTCGCCGCGAACTGCAGCGAGCCGACCTTCTGCAGGTACTCCTCCTCCTGCCGTTCCTGCGCCTCCTCGTCATCGAAGGTGAGCTCGGCGTAGGCACCGACCGAGACCGGCGTCTTCGGGGTGCGCCCGGTCTGCTCCTCGTCGAGGAAGCGCCTACGCAGCTTGTCGGCGTAGCCCTGCTGGTGCAGCCACAGCTTCCCCGCCGACCTGTCGCGCACGATCTCCAGCCCAAGGTACTTCTGCACCGGCGAGATCTCACGCAGCTCGAAGGTGGATTCCAGCAGCTCCTTCAGCTCCTTCAGCATCGCGGCGCTGCTGCTGGCGGCAAGTAGGTCGTCCACATAGACCAGCACCCAGCAGGCCACTCCACCCTCGCCAACCTTGAAGTACAGAGCCTCGTCGACCTGGCTCTTCTTCCACCCAGCGCCGACCAGCACATCGTTGAGCGCCAAGTACCACAACAGCGGCGACTGCTTCAGCCCGTACATGCTCTTCAGCAGCTTACACACCCGGCCGGTTCCGTCGTTGAAGTAGTCCGGCTGAGACATGTACAGCACTCGATCGAGCTTGCTCTGCAGGAAGGCGTTCTTCATGTCGAGCTGCATCAGGTTGAGGTCGAGGACAGCGACGATGCTGAGGAAGATCCTCAGCGTGACGTAGCTGCTCACCGGCGCGAACGTCTCGTCGTAGTCGGCGCCATACACCTGTGTGAAGCCCTTCACGACCAGCCTCGCCTTCTCTCGCTCGACGGTGTCGTCGACGTGGTACTTCGTCGTCAACACCCACCGGTTCTTCATGACGTTCACTCCCGGCGGGCGCTCGACCAGCTCCCAAGTGCCCATGCTGATGAGGCTGCGAATCTCCTCCTCCATGGCGGCCTTCACCGCCGGGCCCTTCCAGCTCGCCAACGGTGCTCGGGGTCGGCTAGCATGTCGGGGTCGAGCTCCGGAAACTCCTCATCATCCTCGGCGTCATCGTACAGCAGGTCGTCATCATCGTCCACGTCATACACCGTGGTGAAGGCAGCTGGGACGAAGAAGTCAGGCGGCCTTCGAAGTCGGCCTGAACGCCGTGGTCCCTGCTGGACCTCCTCGGCATCTCCTCCATCGTCGCTGTCGTCGCTGCCCTCAGCGTCCCGCTGCTCCTCAGCCGGCGTTCCAACCGACTGCTCTACGGTGGTCGGCTTCCCAGCCGACTTCTCCCCTGTGGTCGGCTCCCCTGCCGACGGCCCGGTCGCCGACTGCTCCGTGGTCGGCTTCACGGCAGCCTGCTCCCTTGTCGGCTGCTGCTCCTCGACCTGCTGCTCCCCTGTCGACTGCAATCCCACGTCGATTCGCCGCTCGTCACGTCGGCCACCGGCGATGCACTTGGCCAGCGCCGAAGGCGGCGTCCCACGTCTCCCCTCATCGCCGGAGGCCGACACCGAGGGCAGCCCACGTGGGTCGACCATGAGGGGAGGGGCAGGGGTCAGAGGGAGAGGGGTAGGGGTGTGGACGCCCTCAACGTCCTCAGTAACAAGCTCACCGACCTCGGCAAGCAGTGGCAGCGTCGCTGACGAGGTGTCAGAGGGCAGGGTGGACGGCGACCGGCCGGACACCGGCCCATGCCCCGTTTTCCACTCGGCCAGCGACATCTCCTTGTAGAACACCACGTCCGACGTGGTGACCACCCGGTCAGTGGCGACGTCACGGAGCTCCCAGCCCTTGCTCGCCTCTGACACGCCAAGGTGCAGGCCCCACTTGGCCTTCGGCTTCAGCTTCCCACCACGCTGCTGCTCAGGGACAAGGAACTGCGCCATGCAGCCCCACACCCGCGCCAGCGACAAGTCGGGCTTCTTCCCAGTCAGCAGCTGGTACGGCGTCGTCCCCTGTGGCAGCGTCGACCTCTCAAGACAGTTGCAGACCCAGGAGGCCTGCCGGAGAGCGAGGTGCCACCAGTGGTGCTGCACACCCATGTGCAGCAGCATTGTCCGCACCGACTCCACCACCGTCCTCATCTCCCGCTCCGCCATGCCGTTCTGCTGCGGGGTGTATGGGCAGGTCAGGTCATGGACGATCCCCTTGCCGTTCACGAAGTCGGTGAACTGCTTCCCGAGGAACTCCCCTCCCCGGTCAGAGCGCAGCATCAACACCGACTTCTTCGTCTGCCGCTCAGCCACCGCCAGCCACTGTACGAACGCCTGCAACGCATCTGACTTCTTGGCGACCGGCTTCACCCACACGTAGCGGGTCTTGCGGTCCTTCAGCAGTAAGAAGTACAAGCTGCCATCCTTGGCAGTCACGCGGAACGGCCTGCACAGGTCGATGTGCACGACGGCCAGCACGTCGTCGGCGTCGGAGCCTTGGTCGGGGAAGGTGTGCCGCGCCAGTTTCCCACCGACGCACGAGACACACGGGGAGTCGGCGTCCGTCGCTGACTTGAGGTCCAGCCCAATGGCGACCTCGTTCTTCGCCGAGCTCCGTATGGTGTCCATGCCGACGTGTGCAAGCCTCGCATGCATCCGGTCCGGCGTTGGCTTCGTCTTTGAGACGATCGCCCGCAGAGCCACGACCTCCAGCGTGGTTGACGCTGACGTAGTCGTGCAGGGACGCAAGTCGGTGCAGAGGACTCGTCCGGAGTACGTTGCCTGCCCGAGCACCTCTCCCGCTGCCGAGACGAGCAGCATGCCGTCTCCGTCCTCCTGCAACTTCACGCCCTTCTCCTTAAGCTGGCCGGCCGACAGCAGGTTGGCTCGCACACCCGGGACGTACAGCACGTCGGGGATGAGCACCTGCTTCCCGGCCTCTCCTCGCAGAGCGACGGTGCCACAGCCCTGAACGTCCTGCAGCGCCCCATTGAAGCCGCGCACGTGCTGGATGGAGCCACTCGGCTGCAGGTCAACGAAGGCTTCCCTCGTCCCCATTAGGTGGTGGGAGCAACCGCTGTCGAGCAGTACCACCGCCGGGTTCGCCTGCACAGCCGCTGCCACCGCCTGGAAGTCCTCTCCGGCCTCTGGCGCCAGAGAGATGGTCGGCTCCACGACGCCGACCAGCGAGCACGACGCCATCTTGTCGTCTCGCCCCTTGCCGCCTGCAACGGAGTCGGCGTCCTTCGCCGAAGTCGATGTCTTAGTCGACTGCTTCTCCTTGCGCGGCTGGTTTCCTCCACGACGAGGACAACGGCTGCCAGACCTCCCACGGCCTCCCTTAGCATCGTCGTCGTCGGAGTCACTGCGGTTGGGACACTCGAAGGAGAGATGGTCGGGATCGCCGCACAGCCAGCATTCCCGACGTCGACCTCCTCCTCCACGACCGCTGTCCTTGGTCGACTTCCTCTTGTCGACCTCCTTGGCCAGCTTCCAGCCACTGCTACCACCACCGCCAGACTGCCCGCGCTGTCACGGTCGGCCTCCTTGCTTCGCTGAGGTGACCAAGTTTGCCTGCGCCAAGAGCTCCTGCGACCGCTCAGCCTCCTGCATCGCCTCGTCCTGCAGGATATACGAGGTCAGGTTGTCCTCGTTGAGCGTCGCCCTTGTGCTCGGCGCCATAGACAACCGCTTCAGCAGGTCGTAGCTGCTAGAGAGACCCTGCATGACATGGGTGATATACGACGCCGTGGAGTACTGCGCGCCGGCCATCCTGATGGTGGCGAGAATTCGCCGTGCCCGGTTACAGTAGTCGGTCGCTGTCTCCTCATCACCCATACGCAGGTGCGTCAGCTGTCCCTCCAGCTGGGCGATGAACAGGTCGTCGGTGACCTGGTACGTCGACTCAATGAAGTGCCACGCCCGGTGGCCAGCGTCGATGTACTCCCGGCACCACTTCAAGGCGATCTGCACGCCCGGCGAGCAGCACCGCGAGATGACCGTGAAGGTCAACAGCTGCACGGCGCGAAACTCCGCACGCAGGTCAGGGTGGTGCTCCCCCGGCGTCGCCACGGTCCCTCGGGCGAAGCCGATCAGCCCGGCCATCTCCAGCTGGGGCTCAATGGCTTCCTTCCAGGTGAGAATGTCGGGTCGACCGACCAGCGGAGGGGTGACCAAGATCCTGTCCGGCGTAAACTTGAAGTAGCCGTAGCTCGGTGCAATCCCACCTGCCGTCACCTGGGACGCTGACATCGGCGACAATCGACTTCGACGCCCACCAGCGTCGCCATGCGAGGAGCCTGCAGCCGCCGACAACTGCATTCCTCGCGCCTGAACGCCGCCGGCTTCACCGGCGTGTATCACACCTCGTTGCCTCGACGTGCCTCCCACACTGCTGCCGACCTGACCTCCACCGGCGTTGACACCCACGTCGACGCCACCGTCGTTGTTCACCGGTCGAGGAGAGGCAGGTCGAGAAGAAGGGTGCTCCGCCGCCCACACGGAGCGGAGTCCGGCTTCGACGACTGCCCAAGGTATCGCCCCATACTCCTGGGCCTCATGGCGTCTCCTCGCATCCTCCAGCCGTCCCTCCAGGGTGTCCATCACCTCGGCGTCGCCTACGCGCACGCTAGTGATTGCACGGCTGCCGGTCTACGAACACGATCGGTATGTGCTAAGTCGTGTAGACTGAACTACGTCGCGGTGTCGTCCACACTCATCGCACCATGCGGAGATAACTGCAGCAACGGGAGCTAGGCTACGGGCCAAGCACGTGTGCTCGTGTGATCTCTGTGTTCTCTGTTCCTTAGTCGTTTTCCTTGTGCGCACACTACTTGCTAGTTCACGTGGAAAATTGGCAAGAGTTCCACTAGGAAAAGTTCAGAACAATGATAGCAACAACATTGGCAACATTGACTACATCAGAGCTAGCTAGGCTGCTGGTCGACCTCCAACGCAGCACGGTCGACCGCACTCCAGCGCAGCAGTGCTCGCACCGCTCCAGCGTAGCAGAGTAGCGGTTCGCCAACGTTGCAAGTCCACGGTGTGCCAGCGCTGCACCAAGTCGGCTGCACAGCGTTGCATCCGCAGGACAACGGTGCACCTGCTTCGCAGATGCGCGCAGCTGGTTGGTGTGCACTTCCCTGTCACGTGCACAATGCAGACGCCTGGCAGATCCCGTGCCAGCGACTGTGCCCACCAGCCACGTCGACCTCGGGATACCACCCCGAGGTCGACCTCGCAGTCTCCATCCTGGCGACACTCGCGCACGTCGCCCAGGTATCCCGATCGACCGGGCAACCACGCCTGGTCGACTCGGCCAGTCCGTAGCCAGTCACGCATGCCCGACATCCCCAGTCCGGTGTCCAGGCGCGCCCAGAACGCCTTCCGAACCCCTAGGTCGGCGTCCAGACGCCCAGGACGCCGACCAAACCTCCAGAGCGGCGTCCCTCCCCAGGACGCCGATCAGACACCTAGGTCGGTGTCGGGACCCGACGCCCAGGTCGGCGTCCGGACCCCCGGACTCCGTGCAGACACCCACGACATCGTCCAGGCGTCCGGGTGGTCATGGCGACGCCCAGCTCGGCGTCCCACCTCCCAGGACGCCGTCCAGGCGTCCAGGACGCCAACCAGACGTCCAGGGCGGCGTTCTCCAGCTCGGCGCCCTTGCAGTGGCTCCCGTGCCCACTGCTGCAGGTCGGCTGCAACCCTCGCACATCCGACCACAAAGTTGGCCCCGCCCAAGCGAGGACGGGGCCAATACCCTACTCCCGTTGACATCACAGCCCCCCAGAGCAGCGGCGCCTCTCCCTCACAGCCCCCAAGAGCAGCGGCGCCTCCTCCTCACAGCCCCCCAGAGCAGCGGCGCCTCCTCACAGCCCCCAGAGCATCGGAGCCTCCTCCTCACAGCCCCCCAGAGCATGGGCGCCTCCTCCTCACAGCCCCCAGAGCAGCGGCGCCTCCTCCTCACAGCCCCCCAGAGCATGGGCGCCTCCTCCTCACAGTCCTAAGAGCAGCGGCACCTCCTCCTCACAGCCCCCAGAGCATCGGAGCCTCCTCCTCACAGGCCCCCAGAGCATGGGCGCCTCCTCCTCACAGCCCCCAGAGCAGCGGCGCCTCCTCCTCACAGCCCCCCAGAGCATGGGCGCCTCCTCCTCACAGCCCTAAGAGCAGCGGCACCTCCTCCTCACAGCCCCCCAGAGCATGGGCGCCTCCTCCTCACAGCCCCCCAGAGCAGCGGCGCCTCCTCCTCACAGCCCCCCAGAGCAGCGGCGCCTCCTCCTCAAAGCCCCCCAGAGCAGCGGCGCCTCCTCCTCACAGCCCCCCCAGAGCAGCGGCGCCTCCTCCTCACAGCCCCCCAGAGCATGGGCGCCTCCTCCTCCACCACCCCAGAGCAGCGGCGCCTTCTCCTCACAGCCTCCCAGAGCATGGGCGCCTCCTCCTCACAGCCCCCAGAGCAGCGGCGCCTCCTCCTCACAGCCCCCCAGAGCATGGGCGCCTCCTCCTCACAGCCCCCCAGAGCAGCGGCACCTCCTCCTCACAGCCCCCCAGAGCATGGGCGCCTCCTCCTCACAGCCCCCCAGAGCAGCGGCGCCTCCTCCTCACAGCCCCCCAGAGCATGGGCGCCTCCTCCTCACAGCCCCCCAGAGCATGGGCTCCTCCTCCTCACAGGCCCCCCAGAGCAGCGGCGCCTCCTCCTCACAGCCCCCCAGAGCAGCGGCGCCTCCTCCTCACAGCCCCCCAGAGCAGCGGCGCCTCCTCCTCACAGCCCCCCAGAGCATGGGCGCCTCCTCCTCACAGCCCCCCAGAGCATGGGCGCCTCCTCCTCACAGCCCCCCAGAGCATGGGCGCCTCCTCCTCACAGCCCCCCAGAGCATGGGCGCCTCCTCCTCACAGCCCCCCAGAGCAGCGGCGCCTCCTCCTCACAGCCCCCCCAGAGCATGTTTGCCTCCTCCTCACAGCCCCCCAGAGCAAGGGCGCCTCCTCCTCATAGCCCCACAGAGCATGGGCGCCTCCTCCTCACAGCCCCCCAGAGCATGGGCGCCTCCTCCTCACAGCCCCCCCAGAGCATGGGCGCCTCCTCCTCACAGCCCCCCAGAGCATGGGCGCCTCCTCCTCACAGTCCCCCAGAGCATGGGCGCCTCCTCCTCACAGCCCCCCAGAGCAGCGGCGCCTCCTCCTCACAGCCCCCCAGAGCAGCGGCGCCTCTCCCTCACAGCCCCCCAGAGCAGCGGCGCCTCCTCCTCACAGCCCCCAAGAGCAGCAGCGCCTCCTCCTCACAGCCCCCCAGAGCAGCGGCGCCTCCTCCTCACAGCCCCCCCAGAGCAGCGGCGCCTCCTCCTCACAGCCCCCCAGAGCATGGGCGCCTCCTCTTCACAGCACCCCAGAGCATGGGCGCCTCCTCCTCACAGCCCCCCAGAGCATGGGCGCCTCCTCCTCACAGCCCCCCCAGAGCATGGCCGCCTCCTCCTCACAGCCCCCCAGAGCAGCGGCGCCTCCTCCTCACAGCCCCCCAGAGCAGCGGCGCCTCCTCCTCACAGCCCCCCCAGAGCATGGGCGCCTCCTCCTCACAGCCCCCCAGAGCATGGCCGCCTCCTCCTCACAGCCCCCCAGAGCATGGGCGCCTCCTCCTCACAGCCTCCCAGAGCAGCGGCGCCTCCTCCTCACAGCCCCCCAGAGCAGCGGCCCCTCTCCCTCACAGCCCCCCAGATCAGCGGCGCCTCCTCCTCACAGCCCCCCAGAGCAGCGGCGCCTCCTCCTCACAGCCCCCCAGAGCATGGGCGCCTCCTCCTCACAGCACACCAGAGCATGGGCGCGTCCTCCTCACAGCCCCCCAGAGCATGGGCGCCTCCTCCTCACAGCCCCCCAGAGCAGCGGCGCCTCTCCCTCACAGCCCCCCAGAGCAGCGGCGCCTCCTCCTCACAGCCCCCCAGAGCAACGACGCCTCCTCCTCACAGCCCCCCAGAGCATGGGCGCCTCCTCCTCACAGCCCCCCAGAGCATGGGCGCCTCCTCCTCACAGCCCCCCAGAGCAGCGGCGCCTCCTCCTCACAGCCCCCCAGAGCAGCGGCGCCTCCTCCTCAAAGCCCCCCAGAGCATGGGCGCCTCCTCCTCACAGCCCCCCAGAGCATGGGCGCCTCCTCCTCACAGCCCCCCAGAGCATGGGCGCCTCCTCCTCACAGCCCCCCAGAGCAGCGGCGCCTCCTCCTCACAGCCCCCCAGAGCATGGGCGCCTCCTCCTCACAGCCCCCCAGAGCAGCGGCGCCTCCTCCTCACAGCCCCCCAGAGCATGGGCGCCTCCACCTCACAGTCCCCCAGAGCATGGGCGCCTCCTCCTCACAGCCCCCCAGAGCATGGGCGCCTCCTCCTCACAGCCCCCCAGAGCATGGGCGCCTCCTCCTCACAGCCCCCCAGAGCAGCGGCACCTCCTCCTCACAGCCCCCAGAGCATGGGCGCCTCCTCCTCACAGCCCCCCAGAGCAGCGGCGCCTCCTCCTCACAGCCCCCCAGAGCATGGGCGCCTCCTCCTCACAGCCCCCCAGAGCATGGGCGCCTCCTCCTCACAGGCCCCCAGAAGCAGCGGCGCCTCCTCCTCACAGCCCCCCAGAGCAGCGGCGCCTCCTCCTCACAGCCCCTCAGAGCAGCGGCGCCTCCTCCTCACAGCCCCCCAGAGCATGGGCGCCTCCTCCTCACAGCCCCCCAGAGCATGGGCGCCTCCTCCTCACAGCCCCCCAGAGCATGGGCGCCTCCTCCTCACAGCCCCCCAGAGCATGGGCGCCTCCTCCTCACAGCCCCCCAGAGCAGCGGCGCCTCCTCCTCACAGCCCCCCCAGAGCATGTTTGCCTCCTCCTCACAGCCCCCCAGAGCAAGGGCGCCTCCTCCTCATAGCCCCACAGAGCATGGGCGCCTCCTCCTCACAGCCCCCCAGAGCATGGGCGCCTCCTCCTCACAGCCCCCCCAGAGCATGGGCGCCTCCTCCTCACAGCCCCCCAGAGCATGGGCGCCTCCTCCTCACAGTCCCCCAGAGCATGGGCGCCTCCTCCTCACAGCCCCCCAGAGCAGCGGCGCCTCCTCCTCACAGCCCCCCAGAGCAGCGGCGCCTCTCCCTCACAGCCCCCCAGAGCAGCGGCGCCTCCTCCTCACAGCCCCCAAGAGCAGCAGCGCCTCCTCCTCACAGCCCCCCAGAGCAGCGGCGCCTCCTCCTCACAGCCCCCCCAGAGCAGCGGCGCCTCCTCCTCACAGCCCCCCAGAGCATGGGCGCCTCCTCTTCACAGCACCCCAGAGCATGGGCGCCTCCTCCTCACAGCCCCCCAGAGCATGGGCGCCTCCTCCTCACAGCCCCCCCAGAGCATGGCCGCCTCCTCCTCACAGCCCCCCAGAGCAGCGGCACCTCCTCCTCACAGCCCCCCAGAGCATGGGCGCCTCCTCCTCACAGCCCCCCAGAGCAGCGGCGCCTCCTCCTCACAGCCCCCCAGAGCATGGGCGCCTCCTCCTCACAGCCCCCCAGAGCATGGGCTCCTCCTCCTCACAGGCCCCCAGAGCAGCGGCGCCTCCTCCTCACAGCCCCCCAGAGCAGCGGCGCCTCCTCCTCACAGCCCCCCAGAGCAGCGGCGCCTCCTCCTCACAGCCCCCCAGAGCATGGGCGCCTCCTCCTCACAGCCCCCCAGAGCATGGGCGCCTCCTCCTCACAGCCCCCAGAGCATGGGCGCCTCCTCCTCACAGCCCCCCAGAGCATGGGCGCCTCCTCCTCACAGCCCCCCAGAGCAGCGGCGCCTCCTCCTCACAGCCCCCCCAGAGCATGTTTGCCTCCTCCTCACAGCCCCCCAGAGCAAGGGCGCCTCCTCCTCATAGCCCCACAGAGCATGGGCGCCTCCTCCTCACAGCCCCCCAGAGCATGGGCGCCTCCTCCTCACAGCCCCCCCAGAGCATGGGCGCCTCCTCCTCACAGCCCCCCAGAGCATGGGCGCCTCCTCCTCACAGTCCCCCAGAGCATGGGCGCCTCCTCCTCACAGCCCCCCAGAGCAGCGGCGCCTCCTCCTCACAGCCCCCCAGAGCAGCGGCGCCTCTCCCTCACAGCCCCCCAGAGCAGCGGCGCCTCCTCCTCACAGCCCCCAAGAGCAGCAGCGCCTCCTCCTCACAGCCCCCCAGAGCAGCGGCGCCTCCTCCTCACAGCCCCCCCAGAGCAGCGGCGCCTCCTCCTCACAGCCCCCCAGAGCATGGGCGCCTCCTCTTCACAGCACCCCAGAGCATGGGCGCCTCCTCCTCACAGCCCCCCAGAGCATGGGCGCCTCCTCCTCACAGCCCCCCCAGAGCCTGGCCGCCTCCTCCTCACAGCCCCCCAGAGCAGCGGCGCCTCCTCCTCACAGCCCCCCAGAGCAGCGGCGCCTCCTCCTCACAGCCCCCCCAGAGCATGGGCGCCTCCTCCTCACAGCCTCCCAGAGCAGCGGCGCCTCCTCCTCACAGCCCCCCAGAGCAGCGGCCCCTCTCCCTCACAGCCCCCCAGATCAGCGGAGCCTCCTCCTCACAGCCCCCCAGAGCAGCGGCGCCTCCTCCTCACAGCCCCCCAGAGCATGGGCGCCTCCTCCTCACAGCACACCAGAGCATGGGCGCGTCCTCCTCACAGCCCCCCAGAGCATGGGCGCCTCCTCCTCACAGCCCCCCAGAGCAGCGGCGCCTCTCCCTCACAGCCCCCCAGAGCAGCGGCGCCTCCTCCTCACAGCCCCCCAGAGCAACGACGCCTCCTCCTCACAGCCCCCCAGAGCATGGGCGCCTCCTCCTCACAGCCCCCCAGAGCATGGGCGTCTCCTCCTCACAGCCCCCCAGAGCATGGGCGCCTCCTCCTCACAGCCCCCCAGAGCATGGGCGCCTCCTCCTCACAGTCCCCCAGAGCAGCGGCGCCTCCTCCTCAAAGCCCCCCAGAGCATGGGCGCCTCCTCCTCACAGCCCCCCAGAGCATGGGCGCCTCCTCCTCACAGCCCCCCAGAGCATGGGCGCCTCCTCCTCACAGCCCCCCAGAGCAGCGGCGCCTCCTCCTCACAGCCCCCCAGAGCATGGGCGCCTCCTCCTCACAGCCCCCCAGAGCAGCGGCGCCTCCTCCTCACAGCCCTCCAGAGCATGGGCGCCTCCTCCTCACAGCCCCCCAGAGCATGGGCGCCTCCTCCTCACAGCCCCCCAGAGCATGGGCGCCTCCTCCTCACAGCCCCCCAGAGCATGGGCGCCTCCTCCTCACAGCCCCCCAGAGCATGTTCGCCTCCTCCTGACAGCCCCCCAGACCATGGGCGCCTCCTCCTCACAGCCCCCCAGAGCAGCGGCGCCTCCTCCTCACAGCCCCCCACAGCAGCGGCTTCTCCTCCTCACAGCCCCCCAGAGCATGGGCGCCTCCTCCTCACAGCCCCCCAGAGCATGGGCGCCTCCTCCTCACAGCCCCCCAGAGCAGCGGCGCCTCCTCCTCACAGCCCCCCAGAGCATGGGCGCCTCCTCCTCACAGCCCCCTAGAGCAGCGGCGCCTCCTCCTCACAGCCCCCCAGAGCATGGGCGCCTCCACCTCACAGCCCCCCAGAGCATGGGCGCCTCCTCCTCACAGCCCCCCAGAGCATGGGCGCCTCCTCCTCACAGCCCCCCAGAGCATGGGCGCCTCCTCCTCACAGCCCCCCAGAGCAGCGGCGCCTCCTCCTCACAGCCCTCCAGAGCAGCGGCGCCTCCTCCTCACAGCCCCCCAGAGCATGGGCGCCTCCTCCTCACAGCCCCCCAGAGCATGGGCGCCTCCTCCTCACAGCCCCCCAGAGCAGCGGCACCTCCTCCTCACAGCCCCCCAGAGCATGGGCGCCTCCTCCTCACAGCCCCCCAGAGCAGCGGCGCCTCCTCCTCACAGGCCCCCAGAGCAGCGGCGTCTCCTCCTCACAGCCCCCCAGAGCATGGGCGCCTCCTCCTCACAGCCCCCTAGAGCAGCGGCGCCTCCTCCTCACAGCCATCCAGAGCAGCGGCTCCTCCTCCTCACAGCCCCCCAGAGCATGGGCGCCTCCTCCTCACAGCTCCCCAGAGCAGCGGCTCCTCCTCCTCACAGCCCCCCAGAGCAGCGGCGCCTCCTCCTCACAGCCCCCCAGAGCATGGGCGCCTCCTCTTCACAGCACCCCAGAGCATGGGCGCCTCCTCCTCACAGCCCTCCAGAGCATGGGCGCCTCCTCCTCACAGCCCCCCCAGAGCATGGCCGCCTCCTCCTCACAGCCCCCCAGAGCATGGGCGCCTCCTCCTCACAGCCCCCCAGAGCATGGGCGCCTCCTCCTCACAGCCCCCCAGAGCAGCGGCGCCTCCTCCTCACAGCCCTCCAGAGCAGCGGCGCCTCCTCCTCACAGCCCCCCAGAGCATGGGCGCCTCCTCCTCACAGCCCCCCAGAGCATGGGCGCCTCCTCCTCAAAGCCCCCCAGAGCATGGGCGCCTCCTCCTCACAGCCCCCCAGAGCATGTTCGCCTCGTCCTCACAGCCCCCCAGAGCATGGGCGCCTCCTCCTCACAGCCCCCCAGAGCAGCGGCGCCTCCTCCTCACAGGCCCCCAGAGCAGCGGCGCCTCCTCCTCACAGCCCCCCAGAGCATGGGCGCCTCCTCCTCACAGCCCCCTAGAGCAGCGGCGCCTCCTCCTCACAGCCATCCAGAGCAGCGGCTCCTCCTCCTCACAGCCCCCCAGAGCATGGGCGCCTCCTCCTCACAGCTCCCCAGAGCAGCGGCTCCTCCTCCTCACAGCCCCCCAGAGCATGGGCGCCTCCTCCTCACAGCCCCCCAGAGCATGGGCGCCTCCTCCTCACAGCCCCCTAGAGCAGCGGCGCCTCCTCCTCACAGCCCCCCAGAGCATGGGCGCCTCCACCTCACAGTCCCCCAGAGCATGGGCGCCTCCTCCTCACAGCCCCCCAGAGCATGGGCGCCTCCTCCTCACAGCCCCCCAGAGCATGGGCGCCTCCTCCTCACAGCCCCCCAGAGCAGCGGCGCCTCCTCCTCACAGCCCCCCAGAGCATGGGCGCCTCCTCCTCACAGCCCCCCAGAGCAGCGGCGCCTCCTCCTCACAGCCCTCCAGAGCAGCGGCGCCTCCTCCTCACAGCCCCCCAGAGCATGGGCGCCTCCTCCTCACAGCCCCCCAGAGCATGGGCGCCTCCTCCTCACGGCCCCCCAGAGCATGGGCGCCTCCTCCTCACAGCCCCCCAGAGCATGTTCGCCTCCTCCTCACAGCCCCCCAGACCATGGGCGCCTCCTCCTCACAGCCTCCCAGAGCAGCGGCGCCTCCTCCTCACAGCCCCCCAGAGCAGCGGCTCCTCCTCCTCACAGCCCCCCAGAGCATGGGCGCCTCCTCCTCACAGCCCCCCAGAGCAGCGGCTCCTCCTCCTCACAGCCCCCTAGAGCAGCGGCGCCTCCTCCTCACAGCCCCCCAGAGCATGGCGCCTCCTCCTCACAGCCCCCTAGAGCAGCGGCGCCTCCTCCTCACAGCCCCCCAGAGCATGGGCGCCTCCACCTCACAGCCCCCCAGAGCATGGGCGCCTCCTCCTCACAGCCCCCCAGAGCATGGGCGCCTCCTCCTCACAGCCCCCCAGAGCATGGGCGCCTCCTCTTCACAGCCCCCCAGAGCAGCGGCGCCTCCTCCTCACAGCCCCCCAGAGCAGCAGCGCCTCCTCCTCACAGCCCCCCAGTGCATGGGCGCCTCCTCCTCACAGCCCCCCAGAGCATGGGCGTCTCCTCCTCACAGCCCCCCAGAGCATGGGCGCCTCCTCCTCAAAGCCCCCCAGAGCATGGGCGCCTCCTCCTAACAGCCCCCCAGAGCATGGGCGCCTCCTCCTCACAGCCCCCCAGAGCAGCGGCGCCTCCTCCTCACAGCCCCCCAGAGTAGCGGAGCCTCCTCCTCACAGCCCCCCAGAGCATGGGCGCCTCCTCCTCACAGCCCTCCAGAGCAGCGGCACCTCCTCCTCACAGCCCCCCAGAGCATGGGCGCCTCCTCCTCACAGCCCCCCAGAGCAGCGGCGCCTCCTCCTCACAGCCCCCCAGAGCATGGGCGCCTCCTCCTCACAGCCCCCCAGAGCATGGGCGCCTCCTCCTCACAGGCCCCCAGAGCAGCGGCGCCATCCTCCTCACAGCCCCCCAGAGCAGCGGCGCCTCCTCCTCACAGCCCCCCAGAGCAGCGGCGCCTCCTCCTCACAGCCCCCCAGAGCATGGGCGCCTCCTCCTCACAGCCCCCCAGAGCATGGGCGCCTCCTCCTCACAGCCCCCCAGAGCATGGCGCCTCCTCCTCACAGCCCCCAGAGCAGCGGCGCCTCCTCCTCACAGCCCCCCAGAGCAGCGGCGCCTCCTCCTCACAGCCCCCCAGAGCAAGGGCGCCTCCTCCTCATAGCCCCCAGAGCATGGGCGCCTCCTCCTCACAGCCCCCCAGAGCATGGGCGCCTCCTCCTCACAACCCCCCCAGAGCATAGGCGCCTCCTCCTCACAGCCCCCCAGAGCATGGGCGCCTCCTCCTCACAGTCCCCCAGAGCATGGGCGCCTCCTCCTCACAGCCCCCCAGAGCAGCGGCGCCTCCTCCCTCACCAGAGCAGCCCCCCAGAGCAGCGGCGCCTCTCCTCACAGCCCCCCAGAGCAGCGGCGCCTCCTCCTCACAGCCCCCCAAGAGCAGCAGCGCCTCCTCCTCACAGCCCCCCAGAGCAGCGGCGCCTCCTCCTCACAGCCCCCCCAGAGCAGCGGCGCCTCCTCCTCACAGCCCGCCAGAGCATGGGCGCCTCCTCTTCACAGCACCCCAGAGCATGGGCGCCTCCTCCTCACAGCCCTCCAGAGCATGGGCGCCTCCTCCTCACAGCCCCCCCAGAGCATGGCCGCCTCCTCCTCACAGCCCCCCAGAGCAGCGGCGCCTCCTCCTCACAGCCCCCCAGAGCAGCGGCGCCTCCTCCTCACAGCCCCCCCAGAGCATGGGCGCCTCCTCCTCACAGCCCCCCAGAGCATGGCCGCCTCCTCCTCACAGCCCCCCAGAGCATGGGCGCCTCCTCCTCACAGCCTCCCAGAGCAGCGGCGCCTCCTCCTCACAGCCCCCCAGAGCAGCGGCGCCTCCTCCTCACAGCCCCCCAGAGCATGGGCGCCTCCTCCTCACAGCCCCCCAGAGCAGCAGCGCCTCCTCCTCACAGCCCCCCAGAGCATGGGCGCCTCCTCCTCACAGCCCCCCAGAGCAGCGGCGCCTCCTCCTCACAGCCCCCCACAGCATGGGCGCCTCCTCCTCACAGCCCCCCAGAGCATGGGCGCCTCCTCCTCACAGCCGCCCAGACCATGGGCGCCTGCTCCTCACAGCCCCCCAGAGCATGGGCGCCTTCTCCTCACAGCCCCCCAGAGCATGGGCGCCTCCTCCTCACAGCCCCCCAGAGCAGCGGCGCCTCCTCCTCACAGCCCCCCAGAGCAGCGGCGCCTCTCCCTCACAGCCCCCCAGAGCAGCGGCGCCTCCTCCTCACAGCCCCCAAGAGCAGCAGCGCCTCCTCCTCACAGCCCCCCAGAGCAGCGGCGCCTCCTCCTCACAGCCCCCCCAGAGCATGTTTGCCTCCTCCTCACAGCCCCCCAGAGCAAGGGCGCCTCCTCCTCATAGCCCCACAGAGCATGGGCGCCTCCTCCTCACAACCCCCCCAGAGCATGGGCGCCTCCTCCTCACAGCCCCCCAGAGCATGGGCGCCTCCTCCTCACAGTCCCCCAGAGCATGGGCGCCTCCTCCTCACAGCCCCCCAGAGCAGCGGCGCCTCCTCCTCACAGCCCCCCAGAGCAGCGGCGCCTCTCCCTCACAGCCCCCCAGAGCAGCGGCGCCTCCTCCTCACAGCCCCCAAGAGCAGCAGCGCCTCCTCCTCACAGCCCCCCAGAGCAGCGGCGCCTCCTCCTCACAGCCCCCCCAGAGCAGCGGCGCCTCCTCCTCACAGCCCCCCAGAGCTTGGGCGCCTCCTCCTCACAGCCCCCCAGAGCATGGGCGCCTCCTCCTCATAACCCCCCAGAGCATGGGCGCCTCCTCCTCACAGCCCCCCAGAGCATGGGCGCCTCCTCCTCACAGCCCCCCAGAGCATGGGCGCCTCCTCCTCACAGCCCCCCAGAGCAGCGGCGCCTCCTCCTCACAGCCCCCCCAGAGCATGTTCGCCTCCTCCTCACAGCCCCCCAGAGCAAGGGCGCCTCCTCCTCACAGCCCCACAGAGCATGGGCGCCTCCTCCTCACAGCCCCCCAGAGCATGGGCGCCTCCTCCTCACAGCCCCCCAGAGCATGGGCGTCTCCTCCTCACAGCCCCCAAGAGCAGCGGCGCCTCCTCCTCACAGCCCCCCAGAGCAGCGGCGCCTCTCCCTCACAGCCCCCCAGAGCAGCGGCGCCTCCTCCTTACAGCCCCCCAGAGCAGCGGCGCCTCCTCCTCACAACCCCCCAGAGCAGCGGCGCCTCCTCCTCACAGCTCCCCCAGAGCAGCGGCGCCTCCTCCTCACAGCCCTCCAGAGCATGGGCGCCTCCTCCTCACAGCACCCCAGAGCATGGGCGCCTCCTCCTCACAGCCCCCCAGAGCATGGGCGCCTCCTCCTCACAGCCCCCCAGAGCAGCGGCGCCTCTCCCTCACAGCCCCCAGAGCAGCGGCGCCTCCTCCTCACAGCCCCCCAGACCAACGGCGCCTCCTCCTCACAGCCCCCCAGAGCAGCGGCGCCTCCTCCTCACAGCCCCCCAGAGCATGGGCGCCTCCTCCTCACAGCCCCCCAGAGCATGGGCGCCTCCTCCTCACAGCACCCCAGAGCATGGGCGCCTCCTCCTCACAGCCCCCCAGAGCATGGGCGCCTCCTCCTCACAGCCCCCCAGAGCAGCGGCGCCTCCTCCTCACAGCCCTCCAGAGCAGCGGCGCCACCTCCTCAGAGCCCCCCAGAGCATGGGCGCCTCCTCCTCACAGCCCCCCAGAGCATGGGCGCCTCCTCCTCACAGCCCCCAGAGCAGCGGCGCCTCCTCCTCACAGCCCTCCAGAGCAGTGGCGCCTCCTCCTCACAGCCCCCCAGAGCATGGGCGCCTCCTCCTCACAGCCCCCAGAGCATGGGCGCCTCCTCCTCACAGCCCCCCAGAGCATGGGCGCCTCCTCCTCACAGCCCCCCAGAGCAGTGGGCGCCTCCTCCTCACAGCCCCCCAGAGCATGGGCGCCTCCTCCTCACAGCCCCCCAGAGCAGCGGCGCCTCCTCCTCACAGCCCCCCCAGAGCATGGGCGCCTCCTCCTCACAGCCCCCCAGAGCATGGGCGCCTCTTCCTCACAGCCCCCCAGAGCAGCGGCTCCTCCTCCTCACAGCCCCCCAGAGCAGCGGCGCCTCCTCCTCACAGCCCCCCAGAGCAGCGGCTCCTCCTCCTCACAGCCCCCCAGAGCAGCGGCTCCTCCTCCTCACAGCCCCCCAGAGCAGCGGCGCCTCCTCCTTACAGCCCCCCCAGAGCATGGGCGCCTCCTCCTCACAGCCCCCCAGAGCAGCAGCGCCTCCTCCTCACAGCCTCCCAGAGCATGGGCGCCTCCTCCTCACAGCCCCCAGAGCAGCGGCGCCTCCTCCTCACAGCCCCCCAGAGCATGGGCGCCTCTTCCTCACAGCCCCCCAGAGCAGCGGCTCCTCCTCCTCACAGCCCCCCAGAGCAGCGGCGCCTCCTCCTCACAGCCCCCCAGAGCAGCGGCTCCTCCTCCTCACAGCCCCCCAGAGCAGCGGCTCCTCCTCCTCACAGCCCCCCCAGAGCAGCGGCGCCTCCTCCTTACAGCCCTCCCAGAGCATGGGCGCCTCCTCCTCACAGCCCCCCAGAGCAGCAGCGCCTCCTCCTCACAGCCTCCCAGAGCATGGGCGCCTCCTCCTCACAGCCCCCCAGAGCATGGGCGCCTCCTCCTCACAGCCCCCCAGAGCATGGGCGCCTCCTCCTCACAGCCCCCTAGAGCAGCGGCGCCTCCTCCTCACAGCCCCCCAGAGCATGGGCGCCTCCTCCTCACAGCCCCCCAGAGCATGGGCGCCTCCTCCTCACAGCCCCCAGAGCTTGGGCGCCTCCTCCTCACAGCCCCCCAGAGCAGTGGCGCCTCCTCCTCACAGCCCCCCAGAGCATGGGCGCCTCCTCCTCACAGCCCCCCAGAGCAGCGGCGCCTCCTCCTCACAGCCCCCCTTGAGCATGGGCGCCTCCTCCTCACAGCCCCCCAGAGCATGGGCGCCTCCTCCTCACAGCCCCCCAGAGCAGCAGCTCCTCCTCCTCACAGCCCCCCAGAGCAGCTGCGCCTCCTCCTCACAGCCCCCCAGAGCAGCGGCTCCTCCTCCTCACAGCCCCCCAGAGCAGCGGCGCCTCCTCCTCACAGCCCCCCAGAGCATGGGCGCCTCCTCCTCACAGCCCCCCAGAGCATGGGCGCCTCCTCCTCACAGCCCCCCAGAGCATGGGCGCCTCCTCCTCACAGCCCCCCAGAGCATGGGCGCCTCCTCCTCACAGCCCCCCAGAGCATGGGCGCCTCCTCCTCACAGCCCCCCAGAGCATGGGCGCCTCCTCCTCACAGCCCCCCAGAGCATGGGCGCCTCCTCCTCACAGCCCCCAGAGCATGGGCGCCTCCTCCTCACAGCCCCCCAGAGCATGGGCGCCTCCTCCTCACAGCCCCCCAGAGCAGCGGCGCCTCCTCCTCACAGCCCCCCTTGAGCATGGGCGCCTCCTCCTCACAGCCCCCCAGAGCATGGGCGCCTCCTCCTCACAGCCCCCAGAGCAGCGGCGCCTCCTCCTCACAGCCCCCCAGAGCATGGGCGCCTCCTCCTCACAGCCCCCCAGGAGCATGGGCGCCTCCTCCTCACAGCCCCCCAGAGCAGCGGCGCCTCCTCCTCACAGCCCCCCAGAGCAGCGGCCGCCTCCTCCTCACAGCCCCCCAGAGCAGCGGCGCCTCCTCCTCACAGCCCCCCAGACCAACGGCGCCTCCTCCTCACAGCCCCCCCAGAGCAGCGGCGCCTCCTCCTCACAGCCCCCCAGAGCATGGGCGCCTCCCTCCTCACAGCCCCCCAGAGCATGGGCCGCCTCCTCCTCACAGCACCCCAGAGCATGGGCGCCTCCTTCTCACAGCCCCCCAGAGCATGGGCGCCTCCTCCTCACAGCCCCCCAGAGCAGCGGCGCCTCCTCCTCACAGCCCTCCAGAGCAGCTGGCGCCACCTCCTCAGAGCCCCCCAGAGCATGGGCGGCCCTCCATCACTCACAGCCCCCCAGAGCATGGGCGCCTCCTCCTCACAGCCCCCAGAGCATGGGCGCCTCCTCCTCACAGCCCCCCAGAGCATGGGCGCCTCCTCCTCACAGCCCCCCAGAGCAGTGGCGCCTCCTCCTCACAGCCCCCCAGAGCATGCGCCTCCTCCTCACAGCCCCCCAGAGCAGCGGCGCCTCCTCCTCACAGCCCCCCCAGAGCATGGGCGCCTCCTCCTCACAGCCCCCCAGAGCATGGGCGCCTCTTCCTCACAGCCCCCCAGAGCAGCGGCTCCTCCTCCTCACAGCCCCCCAGAGCAGCGGCGCCTCCTCCTCACAGCCCCCCAGAGCAGCGGCTCCTCCTCCTCACAGCCCCCCAGAGCAGCGGCTCCTCCTCCTCACAGCCCCCCAGAGCAGCGGCGCCTCCTCCTTACAGCCCCCCCAGAGCATGGGCGCCTCCTCCTCAAGCCCCCCAGCAGCAGCGCCTCCTCCTCACAGCCTCCCAGAGCATGGGCGCCTCCCTCCTCACAGCCCCCAGAGCAGCGGCGCCTCCTCCTCACAGCCCCCCAGAGCATGGGCGCCCCTCTTCCTCACAGCCCCCCAGAGCAGCGGCTCCTCCTCCTCACAGCCCCCCAGAGCAGCGGCGCCTCCTCCTCACAGCCCCCCAGAGCAGCGGCTCCTCCTCCTCACAGCCCCCCAGAGCAGCGGCTCCTCCTCCTCACAGCCCCCCAGAGCAGCGGCGCCTCCTCCTACAGCCCTCCCAGAGCATGGGCGCCTCCTCCTCACAGCCCCCCAGAGCAGCAGCGCCTCCTCCTCACAGCCTCCCAGAGCATGGGCGCCTCCTCCTCACAGCCCCCAGAGCAGCGGCGCCTCCTCCTCACAGCCCCCCAGAGCATGGGCGCCTCCTCCTCACAGCCCCCAGAGCATGGGCGCCTCCTCCTCACAGCCCCCCAGCAGAGCTTGGGCGCCTCCTCCTCACAGCCCCCCAGAGCAGTGGCGCCTCCTCCTCACAGCCCCCCAGAGCATGGGCGCCTCCTCCTCACAGGCCCCCCAGAGCAGCGCGGCGCCTCCTCCTCACAGCCCCCCGAGCATGGCGCCTCCTCCTCACAGCCCCCAGAGCAGCGGCGCCTCCTCCTCAAAGCCCCCCGAGCATGGGTCGCCTCCTCCTACACAGCCCCCCAGAGCATGGGCGCCTCCTCCTCACAGCCCCCCAGAGCATGGGCGCCTCCTCTCACAAGCCCCCCAGAGCAGCGGCGCCTCCTCCTCACAGCCCCCCAGAGCAGGGGCGCCTCCTCCTCACAGCCCCCATAGCAGTGGGCGCCTCCTCCTCACAGCCCCCCAGAGCGGCAGCCGCCTCCTCCTCACAGCCCCCCAGAGCATGGCGCCTCCTCCTCACAGCCCCCAGAGCAGGGGCGCCTCCTCCTCACAGCCCCCCAGAGCAGCGTGCGCTCCTCCTCACAGCCCCCCAGAGCATGGGCGCCTCCTCCTCACAGCCCCCCAGAGCAGCGGCGCCTCCTCCTCACAGCCCCAGAGCAGCGGCGCCTCCTCCTCACAGCCCCCCAGAGCATGGGCGCCTCCTCCTCACAGCCCCCCAGAGCAGCGGCGCCTCCTCCTACCTCACAGCCCCCCAGAGCAGAGGCGCCATCCTCCTCACAGCCCCCCAGAGCAGCGGCGCCTCCTCCTCACAGCCCCCAGAGCAGCTGGCGCCTCCTCCTCACAGCCCCCAGAGCAGCGGCGCGCTCCTCACTCACAGCCCCCCAGAGCATGGGCGCCTCCTCCTCACAGCCACACCCAGAGCATGGGCGCCTCC